ACGCAGAAAGCCCGGGAACGGAGTGCCAAGGCTGCACGGCTCCGGCGTTGGCCTCCTCCTTCCGCTTGGCCTCCCGGGCTTGTTTCCGGCGCTGCAGCTCTGCTTCCCGCCGCTTCACTTGGAGCCGGATGGACCGCAGCTGGAACAGCTCCTGCCGCCGGAGCCGTGCAGCCTTGGCACTCCGTTCCCGGGCTTTCTGCGTGCACAGAGAGACACACACACACATAGAAAGGGAGGTATGGATGGGCAGGCCTGCCCGGAAGGGCTCTGGCCCGTTTTGCCTCCTTTCCCTAATCGCGGTGCCTTCTGCGGCGTGGGGCAGGCCCAGGGGTGCCCCTGCCGGGAGGAGATCACTGGGTCCCCGTCAGCAGAGCGGTGGTCTCTGGGCTGGCGTCCCCGCTATTTCCGCAGAGCTCAAGCAGGGAGCAGATGGCAGGCGCACGGCTTGGCTAGATGGCCGCGTGCTAGCAAGGCAGGGAAGATAATCAAGCTTGCGTTGGCAGGCAGCCAGCCCAGGAGGCAGCCGATTGCCGCTGCGCTGCTTCTCAAGGGCGGCTCAGAGAGCGACGCCACATCGGGGCTTAGGCACCCAGGCAGGAAGCGCTCGCTCAAGGCGTGGGCCGACCTCGCACACATGCGTGCACGGAAACTAGGAGGCATCGGATGTGCCCGCAGGCAGGCCTGTGCCCGCTATCCAGAAAGACCTGCAATTCCAGGGCCAGGTAATTCCATGACCACAATGATTCACATTTCACACCAAGGAAGAGCTCAGCTGCACCGTTCACTTTTGCTGAGGTTCTGCAAGGGAAGGGAAGCAGCAAGAAGCCCTGCAAGGCAACGCGCTGAGCCCGAGTGTCGGCCAAGATCCTTCCTGAGCCACCACGGAGATTTCAGCAAAACTGGCCCACGTGCCCCCCAGCGGCCTCATCAAAGTAAGGGGCAGCTGGCTTTGTATTTTGCGCTGATTAACATTCGCAGAGGTTGACCCTACAGGAAGCCTGTTGGCATTTTAAAATGATAAACAAGGAACAGAACTTTGGTTTCTGGATCACCCCCGTCAAAGGCCCAAGTCCTGGTTCAAATCAAATCATGGCACAGAAGGCGATGGCTCAGTTACAACCCAGGAAACAGAGCGGCATGGAATCTCAGGCACATATTTCAGGGGGAAAAAACCTATCCGGAAGGCGACTCTCCCTGAGAGATTCCACATTCAGAAAAGCACGTTCTCCAACTAGCAAGCCCTGTTCCAAAGGCAGTTTCTAGAAAGACAGCAGGCCTGGCCCTGCCTGGCACACCCACCAGCTGCTTGGCTTCCTTTTCCTTCTTGCGCTGCCGCTCCGTTTTCTTTTCCCCTGCCACCGCTTGGGGAAAATGAGATGTAGGGGCGTCTGCCTGCAATTCCACCTCCGGGGGTCTCGGTGGGCAATCCTGCCCTTCCTCGCCATCCGACTCGTCTTCCAAGAGTCCCTCACACTGTTCCCGGAACACTGTCTCCTGCAGACACAGAGAGAAGTTGCAGCAGGAGCATGCGCAAGAGCAGGAACGCCCACAGGCCCCGAGCCAGCGCCCTGGCAGCAGCTCACCCCTTAGGCCAGCCGCCCCCAGCCTGGCGCCTTCTAGACACAAGCGGACTGCAACACCCAGAATTCCCACTCAATGGCCCTGCTGGATGGGAACTCTGGGAGTTGCAGTCCAGATGCCTCTGAGGGCCACCAGGCGGGGAAGCTGTTCTCAAGGAGCTGTGCCAGCTGGAGCAGGCGGTTGCCAGGGCAGGCCTGGGCCCATTGAGAGCTCTTTACTGGGAGTCCCAGAAGAGGACCAGTCCCACTGTGACAGGTGTGGTTCTGCTGAAGCAGCGCCCAAACCCTGTGGGCAGGGTTCATGTTGACAACAGAGCGGTGGCGTGGCATGGGACCAAAAGCAGGCAGAGCCCCCAGCTCTGATGACAAAGCCATCCGTTCACAGGGGAGGCCGCCCTTTACGAAGGGGAGCAGCTCTGCCTCGCAGCCTGAGCATCAAACTGCATTTCTGCAGTCCTGCTTGGAACACAAAGGTGCACACCTCTCGAGGTTCAACCGCAGCACCAGAGGGCCCCCGTGAGCTCTGGGCTCTGCCAGTCCCTCCCCTGGGCCTCATGGGGGCCTCCCCCTGTATGTGGGAGGCTGCTGCTGAGCGCCAGGCCTTGGCACCTCTGGGCAGGATTACTGGCAGCCACCCAGAGGCTGGCACATCCTCTTAAACTGATACAGTGCAGAAGGGCTCAGACCTATTAGAAGGCTAAATATACGCTCTCCCAAGGCCAAGCATCAGGAAGAGGGATCGAAAAGTCTGGCGTGCAGCCCTTCCAGGGGAGGGGGAGGAGACACTCCAGGGGTGGGCAGGCGTGCTGCACCGGCCCCCCTCTGGCTCTCGCCACGAGCGCCCTTGGAGGACGGCCAAGGTGCGGCGAGCCCTCTCGCGGCAACTGCTCACCTGCCTCACTTCAAGGATGCACCTCAGCCAGGGAGTGACCCCACCACATGCTGGGTCACCCATTTCGGAAGAACACCAGGAAGAGGCCGTGCAGAGGGGCACCAAGGCATCAACATGGTCCCCCAAACCTGTGGAGCTCCAGCCACCACCCCCTTTCCCAGCCAGATCCCCGGCTCAGAGGTGCCGCTCCACACACAGGTGGGCGGGGAAAGGCTCCTTCAAGGTGTGAAGCTGGAAAGCCACTTGAAGGCCTGGCACCCGAGGGCCGTAATCCGAGTGGACTGGGAACAAGAGATGTAAGGTGCGCCCTCAGCTGGATCATCCGAACTGCAGGGCCTCCTCCATCTTTTTCCACAGGAAGCAAGGCCAAAGGCAGTCCAGGACTGCTGCCATTTCGTTAAAGAGCTGAGGGAAGCCCCGGATTTGCCCACAGATCTTCACCTGACCCGATTCTTCCCGTGAGAGGGTGAAGGTCCCCTGGTGCACAGGTGTACGCAAACCTCTACACACACCCCGTCCCCGAAATACCGATGCTGCTTTGGTTTCACAGGCCCAAGCGCCAGGGAGTGTGGCGGAGGCCATCGTGTCTGCACGGGGGCTGTGCTCCCCCTCGGAGCAGGTGCTTACCTGCGTGGGGGCCTCAGCCGCCGTGGGGAAACGCAGCTGCCGTTCTAGTCTTTCTGCCTCCTTCTGCCTCTTGACCTCGATTTCATGGGCCTGGAGGAGCAGGGCCTGCAGAGAAGGGAAAGGTGTGAGGACTGGGGAGATCGGCCCAAGGACCCATCCATGCAGCCACCGCCCAATCCACCACGGGGAGCTTCACCACGGCTGTGCAAAGCCCTTTTGGACGGCTTCATGGTTACCACTCTGGGCAGCTTTAAAAGGGACTGGAACCCATTCTCGGAAGAGGCTCGCAATGGCTCATGGCCCGGATGGCCACATGCCCCCGTTTGGCAGCTGCTGGGGAGCATGGGCCAGAGGGTGCTGCTGCACTCGTGCCCTTTTGGGTCTCTCCTCGGGAGCCAGCTGACTGCAGCACAAACAGAGTGACGAACTAATCAGCTCTCGCTCTGGTCCAGCCCAGCTCTCCTTGTGCTCTGGAAACGCAACAGCACTGTGAATCTCAAGCCAACACAGCGCCCCAGATTCTCTAAACCACGAATTCCAGTCCGGTACCCCCATCCCCACCCCAGATATACTGGGCTGCAGCTCCCAGCTATGCTGGCTGGGAGACACTGGGAGTTAATACTCCAGCACTTTCAAAGAGCAGCAGGATGGGGAAGGTGCATTTTTCAAATGATGGATTGAACACATGCAATTAACTCTCTCGGTTTCTCCAGCGCCTGTTAAGGACCAGCCCCCAGTCCAGACACAGTGAAGCAAACTCAATCTGGGTAGAAAATGTGTCACCACCACCCCACAGGTGACAAACTTTATAGATACCTGGTGAGACTGGAAACTGGGATTATAGGACCCCCCTGGCGAGATGACCTCCACCGCTGGCAACTGCGACGGAGTCTTCTTGAGTCTCTCTGGGCGCTAAAGGAGCAAAATGAAGGCTAAGAGGAGTTGGCTCACCATGATTGCTTCCCCCACACCTTGATCCTGGGCAGAAACAGGTCTGCTGCCTACCTTCACCGGCTGCTTTTTGGTCTGCTCCAGAAACCAGCTATCCTTCCCAGCCAGGGCCTTGTCCAGTGGGTCTGGGAGGGCAAGAGAAGAGGAAACCAGCATCATAAGCCTGGAGACTCACCAAAGCTGCATCCTGGGCCTCCTCCGAAGGGGAGCAAAATGTTTCCATTCAGGCTGGCTTTTGGCAGTAAAGAACAGGCTAAGACAGCCTTGGGAACAGATCGTGGCCTGGCCAGAGCCTTGGGGATGGGGTAGGCTGTGAGCCTCAAGAGCAAAGAACAGAAACGGAGGGGAGGGGGAATTACGGTTAGCAAAACAATGGGGTAGAGAACCAGCAGTCTTGGTTCAGCAGCCCATCCTCACATCCGACACTAATCCAAAAGCAGCATGGCTTCCCTTTCTAGTTCTCACAACTAATATGGGATTAGAATCCTCAGTTCACCCATAAGAAAGCAACGAAAAGGGGGGTGGGGAGAAATCCATCTCCTGCGCAGTGGAGACATCCGACTAGGGGACGCAAAGACGTGCTAAGTGGCAACTAATCCTGCTTAAGTGCCAATAAGTTCCCATGGGACCCTCCCCCTTAAGTGTGGGCATCAAAGGGAGCCTCCGTCAAAGGGGGGGAAGGAGGGGAAGGGAAGGAGGGGCTCCTTCTGGGACCGCAATATCCCAATCCTTCCCTGCAGTGAAAGGAACTGCGATCCCTCATCTGGATGCAACCCTGGCCAGAGCGCACGGGTGGGCGGCAGGAGTTGGACAGTGGCTGAGCGAGCTCATTCTGTGCTTCAAGCCGCTAAGTTTAGTTTTGAACCCTCAACCTTTGAACCTAGCAGAGGGAGGAGGGGGAGGATGCCGAGGAGGATAAACGGACCAGGCGTCCACATGCTGTGGGTTGGGAAGAGGCAGAGAGGAAGGGCTAAGAAAGCAACGGCTGGACCAGGCCCAAATGCCGCCCTCCTCCTTGTCCTCCTAAATCAGAGAGGTTGAGGGAGGGGTTCCCTGCAAGGGAAACGGCAGAGCACCACCCTGGGGCAGCCAACCCGGTGCGCCTGCTTCAGGAGACGGACGGGTACCAGCTAGGCTGACCTCGCCACTCCCTAAATCAAGGAGCAGAGCTCCAGACCTGCCCACTAGGACTCGCTGCTCCCCTTCCTCACCAGCACGTGCTCTCAGCTGACAAGAGAAGCCGAGACTCGATGCTCACAGCCTTTCTTCTCTGGGCGCTGAAAGTCCTCACAGTGGTTAAGTGGCGTGATGCCCCAACAGCTCGAGTGGGGTGGGGGTGAAAGAGGGGGGGAAGAGAGGACAGCCCCAGCAGACACTCGAGCCAAGCTAAGCGCTTTCCCCAGACAATCCTTTCGGAATGTTGTCACAGGAATTCTGACCTCTCCTGGAGAAAGCTAGTATGACACCTTGTAAAACTCCCTAAGCGGGGAGGGACATGGCTCTCCCCACTTTCGCTGCTATGTGCATTTTCCCATCTAAGAAGAACAAAGAGGCAGGTGATATACACGAGCCATCAAAGATGCTTATCTCCGAGACGCAACAAAAAACACCCCTTGGTCAAAAAGTTAACAGCGGAGGAGCCAGTCCAGGTTATTCCAAGACCACCAGAGCAGGGAAGGCTGCACCAGGGAAACTCCCACACACCTGCGCTTACGTTCTCAGTCTTAAAAGCAACGCGCCTCCCACAATCAACACCCTAGTCCCAGAGGACAGGTGGCCATCCACTTTCGGGAAAAGGGACACACGGTCTTCACCCATAATAAAAACAGGCCACAGAGTGCAGAACAGGTGTGTGCAGGGCAGTTCACACCCACACGATTTGGAACTCCGTGTCAATGAAGCAAAAGCTGGAGCCCACAAAGTGCACAACAGAAGACACAACTGGCCGATCGAAGCCCCACGGGTGAGAGTTGGATCGCATGCGACAGCCACAAGGCACACCGGTGGTTCTCACTGCACGGCTCCCTACTCCGCCGTCAGCTTGCAAGAGAAGCAACCGTCCAGGGACAGGCGTCCCCTTCAGCCTTGCCCAGCTATGTCAGTACCACCAACAGCACCAGCAAGTGGACCTGGGCAGAGGTGCTGCAAACCTGTCTTTCAGTTTGGCTCTCTGCCCCAGCACCAGTTTACCTGCAGTTCCAGGCCCGATTTACAGGTTCTGCAGCTTGTGTAGCTGTGTGATCACATGTCATGTGACTGGGCTAAGATGCCAGATCACAGAAAGCTGGAACACAGAAGCGCCATTCCAAGAGGGAGATGTGCAGGTCAGGGAACCATTTAATTGCTACACTGGGCCACAGGGGATCCCACGCCAGCCACTGAATGAAGACCACCCTCCCTGCGTGTCAGACACAACACTGAAAGATCCCCTTCCCAATTCCATTCTCAGGATGAAGAAAGAAGTGACTCTTCAAGGTCTATCTATTTAAGTATAACTTGCAAACTGTTCCTAGGACGGCCTTGTCCAACTCAGTGCCCTCTAAATATTGTGAACTTAACTCCCACCTTCTCTCAGCTAACATGGAGCAACTGCAGTTCAATAAATCTGGAGGGTTCCAGATTGGAAAAGCTGTCCTAGAACTACAAAAAAGAGCTTCTGAAATTCTAGGCTTCAGCTTGATTCTCTTCCGACTTACTTAAATCTGACCAAATATCATAGAAACTCCTGGAAGGATTGAGGGCAGTGCTTGCCTCCTCTGAGTCAGCTTTCAAGGCTGGTGCTTTCTGCAATCTCTCCTGAAGGAGGCGCTCTTTCCGGGGCATCACTCCTTTTTCTGCCAGCTTTTCCCATAGCCGTTGTTTCTGCTTCTGCTTCCTGCCATTGGGGATCTGGTGGGCAAGGATGCTGAGAAGGACAAAGGTAAATTCAGTGTCAGGTAAGCCTAAGGAGCACCTGCTGCAGCTACTCTTCCTCACCTCGCCACATTTCCTGAAGAGTACCTCTATTAATTTCTGCCCTGTGCCAGAAAGTACACGCAGGACAGAGGCAACAGGGCCATCTCAACTGCAGCCCTCTTTCCAAAGAGTCCAAGCGTTTTGGAAGAAAGCACAGCAGGTTCCATAGATTGTTGGCTCGGCTAGAGAGGTTTTCATAAATTTATAGCAATTCCCCCTCCCCTTAACCTAAAGAGCTTAGGAAGGAGCTTGTAAGGGGAAAACCTAGCAAAACAGCCTTGAGAGGAAAAAGAGAAATGCTGGCTGCTTTGTAATCATGAAAAGGCCGAGGAGGCAGTGCTCTCCACTCCTCGCTCAAATTATGACCAGCAATAAAAGGTTTAAAACGTGCAGAAGTTATGTGCAGGCCAAGTTTTAGAAAATGGTTCCAGTACAGTTCAGCAAAGCAAGCTCTTAATGGAATCTGTTAGTGGGAGAACCTACTCAATATTAACTCTCCATGACTTCTAACTTACTCTGGAAAGCCCCCCTCCTCTCTCCCTGTGCTTAGTTATCTTTCCAGACTCCAATATCCAAGCAATGGGGATCGAAGGAACACCAGAACACCATATTCATCGAGCTTGTTCTGCATGGCACCCCAGGAGAAGACACAGGAGAAAACTCACTCTTTGGGGGGAGGCACTTTGGAATCTGGCTGCAGAATCAAGTCAATCCTCAAAGGTTTCTCTTTGGCATGCTTCTCATTTTGGCCTGGGACAAATGCACAAAGCAATAATTCACCACCAAGGTACAATTCACACACAGCATTCAACCCTGACAGTCCACTAAAACTTCTCTCCCAGAGCAGGAACTTTTGCTGCCCATCCTCCCCTTCAACTCACTAGCCACATCTGTGTGCTCTAATTAGGAACCATGCTGGGCAGTGGCACACAAGCCATTCCTTAAAGGGGATTACCAGGAAGTTATAATTCAACAACCACTCCACATACCCTCCCCTTTGGCTTAAGAAGTTGGCTGCTAGGAGTAGAAACAGAATATACTATGACAGAGAAATTAGTGGAATGGATAGCAGCCATTGATCCTGGATGCATAGTTCAACTTTACAAAATGGACTGTATTACACACAACAGGAAAAAAAAACGAATCCTTGCTTCAAATCTAGGTTACTATTTCTCTGCTACTCTATACCAAAACCTGGGATGACCAACCCTGTTAAGGAGCATCTTCTCACCTTTCACTTTATCCACAAAGAATAGGCTTTCATCCGGTTTTTCTGACAGTAGCCCTCTGGAATAGAGGAAAAATGTTTTTATTTAAAAATCCCGAGTCTTCACCATCAGCACGAGCGAGCTCCAGTCCTCCACCACCACTACCCACTGGAAGTCTCCCCCTGGGGAATGCCCCAAGGTCCGCTCCCCCTTCACCGAAACCTTTTTACCTCTTTATGCAGGTCACTTTTGCACCTTGGCACTCACCCCGCGTGCCGCAGCTCGGCCGCCCTCTCCTCCAGCCAGTCCCCGAGCTCCCGGCCCAGCTGGACCTCGGGCCCCCGCCAGCGCTTCCAGCCCTTCTTGCGGTGCCTGGCGCCCTTGCCGCCCGCACGCCGCGAGGGGAGCCGGCCCGGCTCTCGCGAGTTGGGGCCGAACCCCAGGAAGGAGGAGGAAGCCTCCGGAGCGGCCAGCGACGCTTCGCCCGCCGGCTCCGCCATTTTGAGCCACGAGAGGGAAAGAGGAGCAGGAAGCTCTGCCTCCGCCGCCACGAGACCGGCAGTGAGGCGAGCTGGGGCACAGCCACTTCCGGCGGCGGGCGCCATTCCCTGGAGCAACTTCCGGCTGGCTGAGGCAGGCTACAGTCATAGAGATGGGGACAACGACGCGCGCAATCCAAACTTCCGGTACTGCGGGGAAAAGCGGCCACGGGCCGTGAACCTCTATGGAAGGGGCTGAGAGAGGAGTGGACTTGCTCTTCTCTTCTCCTTTACCATCTTTATGGAAAATGAAGTGACAAAGCACATCACTTTCCTGATGGAAATGCTTGTATCAAATACATAAAAATGAGTGAAAGAACCTCTAGTATTTCATTCTACTTGCTTGGCCTGGATTTGTGGACTTCGGCACAGCTTGCCATAAAAAAAAAAAAAAGATGGGACACATTCGACATGAGGATTAAGGGCAGGATGTGAACAATTTCATAGTCTTTGAGGGTGATCAACTAAAATATTTTCCAATATAGTATAATGAGAAAAGGAAAAATATAAACTGTCCTGCTGATTATGCCAGATAAGGGAGAGTTTATGCATTATATTTCTTGCCTACATCTTTCCTGCCAGGAAGCCAAGGTGCCTTCTCTCATGTCCTCTCTCTTTCATCCTTGCAACAACAACCCTGTGAGGGCTGAAAGGGAGTGCATGGCTCAAGGCTGCCCAGCAATCTTCATGGCCGAGAGGCCTCTCAAGCCCCAGCCCAACACTGTGAGCGCTGCACAGCGATAGTTCTGCTGGAGCAATTGTGCAGTCCTGGCTAGGCGCTCTTTCTTTGTTGATTTGTCCAACAGAAGCAGACCTCAGCAATTCCATTAACACGCAGCCCTATATAAGAGATCTGGCACGACAGCCCAGCGCATCTCCAAAGGTGAATAAGTTGGAGAGCCATGTTTCGGTGGGCTCCAAATGTCTGCATGAAAAAGGGCTATCTTCCTTGCTGGAGCAAAGAAACACCAGGGCCTGGATCAGGCTCAAGTTCAAAGTGCCTGGGTTGCTACGAGCAACAACGCCTTTATGCACACCGCTGACATGCGTGGTCCTGCAGGGGCACCCCATGAAGTGGAGGTGCAGCCCCAACGTTTTGCAGGGACACGGCCCCTGAGGAAAGTCCAAAAGGCAGGTGGATCTGTCGCGTGCTCCCTCCGAGTATTAAAAGGTGCGTGTAGGATTGCTCATCGTGGTCGGTTGCGGGGAAGGGTCCTGCCTGCGCTTGCATGGCCCCTGTGGATGTCCCAGCTGCCTCCATTCAACCTTCAAAATGACATCCTTGGTGGATGAATAGGGCTCTTGAAACTACACAGGAAAGTTGTTCTTACCAATGTATGGTGCTTCTCCTGCCTTTTTCCTTTTATGAGGAACCCAGAGCAGCTTGCATAGCTCCGTTTTGTCCTCGCAACAAGCACCCTGCGAGCAGGTTGGGCTGAGGGAGCGCCTGGCCCGAAGTCAGCCGGGGAGTTTCCTGGCCAAGCGGAATTAGACCCAGCGCTCAGCCGGCGCACCGCCTTGGTTCCCTCTTGCTGCTTGGGCTATGCGGGAAGCGGGATGAGCGATGACACAAGCAGAGAAAGCAGCGGTGATCACTGATGTACTTTCCAACTGCAGCCACTGAGGGGTAGTCTAAGTCCAGCCCAGGAACAAACCGGAGGGCTGGGATGTGCTGGGTGTGGCTGCAAAAGGCTGGGATTATGATTGTGTTTTTCCAACCCTGGGATCGGCGGGTAAGTGGTTTTGCAGGAGTTTGAGGACTGGCGGATGTTTCCCCTCCATGTTCCTCTTGCATTTGATCTACCAGTTAGAGGAGGCATTCCTGCTTAAGCCAGAAGTAATCCCAGCGGAGTCGAGAACGGGCGTGAACATGCCATCGCTTGCTTGCCTTGTAAAGCAAAACCAAGAAACCCCGCATTCCCTTTCCCGGGTTGCGCTTTTCCTAGACAGAAGGGAACTTTCAGGAAAGCTGAGTAGATAAATGGCGACACGGGGCGCTGCACACGTGTGTACGTTGATGCGTGTTCCTCTGCCAAGGTGAGGGTGCAGCCGGTTTTGCCTGGTCTTGCAGGACGTGCAAAGAAAGAAACTTCCGGAGGAGCGGGGGATGTTTTTGTTTTTGTTTTAATTTTCAGAGCGCTGATCTTGCTTTGGAATTCTCCGAGCAGGCTGTGCACTTGTCCTGCACCCCTCCTATTTTCTGCCTAACATGTAATGAACAATGTAATGATTGTGCGGAAACTTTAGCATATAGAACTCTCATTCTTTCTGCTTTAAATTTCCCACTGCTTGGGGAAATGAGAAGCAAGTGAGCCAAGTTTTATGCAAGTAAGTTCGGTCGGAATTAGAAAAGAATACAGCCACAGTTTTTTAAGGAAGGTGTATAAATCCTTTTGGGTGATGTATTACACCTCTTAGTTCTTGTTCAACTAATGTGCTAGTATGGCTAAGATAACATGCATGGAATTGCAGTCTTAGTTTATGCTGAGTGCTGTAGGACTTTTTCCTGGCTAAATATTCCTAGGATTTCACCCTGAAGACACAAACATATGCACATCTATCTGGAAGTCAGGCCCATTCAAATCAGTGGGCCTTACTTTTGAGTAGACACATCTCCGTTTACACTGTGTGCTGGCCAGGAATCCCCAGTTTCAAATATGCCACTATCACAAACCTGTTTGGAGTCTGAGACACATGTCAATAATGTTCTGATATCAGCCTCACATCTGCAATACAAAGATAGGAACATCATCTCATCTTTCAGAGTTGCTGCAAGACTACTCAAGACAGTGTCCGTGAAGCATATTTAATACAAATGCAAGGGGAAAACATTTGGACCCTCCATAAAATCCTGCAAACAAGTCACAACAATTGCACAAGCTAAAAACCCTGCCTGGAAGCCCCCTAATTTTAAACGTATGCCTTTTTGCTCTAGGCTCTGGTTGGTGGATCTCAGAATTCTAGTTTAAAACATGAAGTGAAAAAATGCAGAAAGGGGATGCTGAAATGATCAAGGGGCTGGAGCAGTTCATTTGGGAGGAAAATTAAAACATCTGGGTATGTTTAGAAAAGAAGTGAAGAAATGGGGTATATGATAGAAGTGTAGAAAATGATTCAACATGTGCAGAAAGGGGGCAGGGAGATGCTTTCCTCTTCATTCTTGAACTCAAAAGGATCACCCTGAAAAGTTATTACAGGGAGAGGAAGGACACATTCTGGAGAAGGCCATCCCTAGTTTCGTGTCCTGATGCTCCTCCAAGATTAGAGGCGCTCTGCCTGTGTATGCCATTTGCTGGGGAACATGGGTGGGAGGGTGCCATCTCACTCATGACCTGTAGGCAACTGTTCCTGTGGGTAACCCCTTGAACAGAAGGCTGGATTTGATGGACCCTGGTCCAGCCCAGCAGGCGATTCTTTGGTAGATCCAGCAAGCCTGGATTCTGTCCACTATAGCTCCGTGCATTGCATAGCTGTGGGGCTACATCAGTGCTAAATATAGTCATACTGTTGCTCAGGGCTGGGGTGTAAGAAGTGCAAAGGGAAATTCTGAAGCTTGGCTCAAAACAGACGGTCCGCGGGGCAGAACTGCCCGTGTCATCCTTGCCTGCCCTGCTCCCCACTTTCTGCGCAGGGACAGAATGTACCAGGCTCCACACATTTCCTGGAGACTCACTCACTTTCCCCATTCCTGCCTTTTTCTGTTCCAGCAACACATCAGAGTCTCTGCTCCGACCTGCCTTCTACCCTGCTACCCTGACCTACACGTGGAGGGTTTCTGGGGCAAGGCAGTGGGTCTCCCAGTCTGTCCATGCCTGGTCCACATTTGAATCCATGCAGTTTAAAAATCTGGACAGGCAGGGAATGGAAGTATTAAAAACAAAGAAGGGAAATGCTGCATTAAGGCGGACGGATAGCCGTGCCCCAAAAGGCAGTTTTTCCAAGGCAGGCAAGGACGGTGCACACCCGAGTAGAATGGTGTGAGACAATCTAAGAAGTCTGACTCATTTGTACAAAACTTGTTAATGCTTTCTAGCTTCCCCTTAACATCCTGTGATGTGAGTTGAAATCTACGGACTTGGTTAAACATCTTCCATCTGCATTTCACAGATTGTCATGTCTTTTGTTCTGCTGTGCACTCATTGATGGAATCAGGTTTTTTTAGCAAAACGGGCCACCCTGACTCAGCGTATTGGTAGTTGCGGCTCCACGCATCTGGGGAATGCCGGACTACGGAAAGGAGACGTGGTGAAATAAAGTGTCCCTTCGGACTTGCAAATGCTCTTCGGGAGCCTTCTTTATGTTCCTCTTTGGTTTCTTTTGGATGTGTGTAAAGAAAACAACCACGTGATCCTCCAGGCTGTTAGGAATTAACTGGAAACAGCTGAAAGTATGGTTTTGGAGGAATTAACTGGAATCAGCTGAAAGTACGGTTTTGGAGGAATTAACTGGAATCAGCTGAAAGTATGGTTTTGGTTTGGTTGCTTGATGTTTTTCTGTTGCTTGTTCTGAATTTGGTATGAACACTTTCAGAACTGTTTTCTGTTGCTTGGAAGAACCGAAGCTGCTTATTATTGGTGTATTGTCATAGAAATTGTTCTAAATAGGACAGAAGAGGTTCCATGCTAACCAAATACCTGTCTAGTCCAACATTCCCACAGAGGCCAACCAGGTGGATTAGCACTCAAATGTTCATGTTCCCCAGCAAGTGGCATTGAGGTTCATAATGCTTCTGATGCTGGACACAGAGCCAACAGGCCGAGCAGCCACCGAAAGCCACGGATCTCCTTGAATGTGTCTAATAGCCTCTTAAAGTTGGTGTCCATTCATCCCTACATCCTCTAGTATGTATGAGGTTGTGGAATGCTAACAGGCTATCAGTAAAAATGCCGTAAAAAAACGGGGTAACTCTCCCGCCTGCTGTTTTGCTGCATGGAACTTCAGAGTCATGTTTGTTCAAGACGGCCTCTTTTGCCTACGGTGAGGATTCTTTCCAAGTGACCAGATGGAAGCTTTGCAAAAATTGGGAGTTCCAGAGCTGGCTAGGACACAGACTGGGCTGCAGATGATTCATTCACATACTTGTGTGCAGATCGGCTGGTGAGAAGTTGTGAAAGCTACTTACTTCTGCAACTTATTTGCAGGACTGCTCCTTTAAGGTGCAGCCCTGAAAAGCAGCCTGCCACCATTACTGTTTCCCCAGCATTCCAGGGGCGACTGTCTCCAGGAGGAGGCTCTTCCGGCTGCAGGCTGGGAATCATGCCTCCCTTGCCCGCGTCGAAAGAGTTTCCTGTGTTTAAACCATGCCACCCTCAAGCATCCATCTTAGGCATGCCTCCCTCGGCCCCGTGTCCCCCTCCGTCACACAGGTGGGCAGGGACTGGGAGACACGTCGCCGAAAACCCAGCCTCTGGAGAAGGGCCTGGACGGATGTGAGCCGCGGAGCGCTTCCGGCAGAAGCAGGGCCCGGGTGGCTGCCCCGTGCCAACCCTGCAGTGGCCTGCCTTGCACAGGGGCGGCTTAGCACCTCCTGTTCATTTGGCCGGAGAAAAGGAATCTGCAAGCTTCCTTTGGCCTGGTGGGGAGCGTTCTGGCAGCATCCCAGGGAGCAATTCACGGCCGGGCCGCGGGCCGGGCTTTGTCAAGCTGGAAGGCAGCGTGCAGCTGCAACATGGCTGCGACTCCTTGAGGCGATAGCTGCCCGGCTCCCTGCTGATCCTGGGCTTTTGCAGGGACGGCACGAGCTGCACTGGTCCCTCAAGCCCAGGGCCGCCTGCTGCGGCTCTTCTCTGCTGGGTGCCCTCCACGTGCCTTGCTGAGGCAAAATGCCACACCGTGCAGCCGTCGCATGTTGAGTTTTTCAGCCTGTCTGGCCTGGGACCAAAGGGCTGACACACTGCCTCCAGGTGTGCCTGCCTGCCTGCCTGCCTGCAGGTGGGGAGCCCCCCTCCCAGGGAGCTGTTGCCTGTCAAACAAGAGCCGGCGAAACCAGTCTCCCCTAAAGTGGGACCCTCTAGACATGCTGGGCTGTAACTGCCACCCAGTGCAAGCACCAGCTGTGCTGGCTGAAGCAGGCGGGATCTGTAACCCTGAACCCCAGAGAGCATCACGCTGGACAGCTTGCTCTTAATGGGCCGGTAGTCCTATGCGATCGAAGGCGACTTCCTAGGATCCTGAGAATGGCCTCCTGTAAAGGTGGCCTAAAAGCATTTGACAGAGTTCTAGACAGATGATCAAATGATACAGAGCGATCCACACCTATCCAGGCGCACACACGTGTGCAAACCCGGTCCCGTGGACACACATGCAAGACTGATAAAAGTGGACCACCGAGCCAAGTTCAGAGGTGTACATACAGCGTGTTTTATTCTGGTTGAAATGCCGTTAGAGCCACGGAGGCACGCTGTGGGATCGGCAAGGAAGGCTGTGCCCCTGGGCCCCAGGGAGACCGTGAGGAGCAGCCCCTTGGTCTTGGCAAAAGATGGCCAGCACATTCCAGGCCCATGCGGCGAATGCCAGCATGCTGCCTTGATGCTGTCGTGTGATGGAGGGGGCCCACATGTGCCGTCCTCTCCTGAAATCCCCGTGGCTGGGGCAGCTGTTGGTGAAGAAGGGTGGGAATCCAGACCTCAAGGGCCCCCACCCCCACCCCATAGTGAAGTGGCCAAGGGTGGACCAAGGACAGACCTGAGGCCACCCCTTGGAAGCAAAGCAAGCCAGGCAAAACTTAGTCAACAAAATTAGGTTATTCTTATTTTCCAGGCGATCGGCAACCCCGATCGTTGGTTTTCAGGTTCTTGGGTGGAGCAGCGAGGATTGTGATTGACCGTGCTGAGGATGGGCTCGTGCCCCAGCTGACTACAGGATAGGACCCAAACTTGCACAACGGGCTAAAAGGATTCATGGCCCATCCTAAGCCACCCTTGGCACCCTCTGGATGGGCTGAACTGCAGCTGTTCTCCTCCTCCAGTCTGGAGGATGATGGGAGTTGTAGCCAATGCATTTGGAGTTGCAAGGCTGGCCTATGCTTCGAAGCTTAGCACTCTCTGTGGCTGGGCCAGCCATGTCCGTTTCCCCCAGGTCTCTCGACGGTGCAGTTTAATGCCTTGTTCCTTCTCCTCATCACCCCAAGTTCAGAAGTCTCCCCAAAACCTCCTCATGTGCAGCTTCATGTCACCCACCAAGGCAAACTCCGAGAGAGAGAGAGAGAGAGAGAGGAAAGCAGCCATGACACACGGAATAAGTTTGTGCCTTTTTTTTTTAACAATAGTGAGAAGCACAAGCTGTTGGTGAGCGGTTCAAATGTGAGACTTGACCAAGATAAAAGGAGTTAATCTATACAAATGTATGCATGATGCAGCACGGGTGGAGTACAGTCATAGTTCTTCTGGGGGTAATCCATGCAGAGCACTCTCGTGAGGATGAATTTGCCCCCAGACGGTTTCCCTGCTGGCAGGTCTGGGTGGGCAGAGCAGGAAAGGCCGAGGGGCAGACCAGGAAGTTCTCTTAGTAGGAGTGGCTGTGTGCTCTCCAGGCCGCGTCAGGAGAGGATGCAGTGCCGTGGGTTTTCTGCACAGCCCTCAGTTTGCCATGCCGCTGCAGGATCCGGGCTCCGAGGAGAAAACTCCAGCAGGGGTAGCCAGCACCAATATACAGCCAGACCCCTCTTGTGATGCCCTCCAAGGTCAAGTGACCTCCCCTTCCTTTGTGTTAATTTTTTTAATGAACTGGCAGCTGAGATTACTGTGAAATAAGTTTCTGTTGGAGCTGAACACGGGGGTCCCAAGCTCTTTAATGTGTTGGGGCAGAGACCACACGCCTGCCTTGTATTCATCTGGGCAAGCGATGTTTCCCTTGCCTTGTCTTGCGTGGCAGTGACTTTGTGGTTGTGCCCAGGAGTTTCTCAAATTGCCAGACATTCCCCCCAGCCCCAAAAGGTTGCCTACTCCTGAACTAGCAACATCCTGAGAATCTCCTCTTTGTGTTTAAGTAAGTGGCTAGACCTCATGATTTTGGAAAGGTGATTGGAAGCTTCTTTATGTCCTTTCATTTCCAATGTATCATTTCCTTTAAAAGAATAGCTGAATAAACCAGAATCAGAAGCAGTACAAGTCTACAAGACGAAGCAACCATACGCAAACACACACAGCTTGAGGCTTACAGCCAAAGACTGGACATAGTTGGAACCAACATGTGCAATCCAGATCTCTGAATCTTGCCCCACATCCTTGAGGTTCTTCCCTCGCCCAGCAACCACGGGGATTATCAACACTCCCAGCTATGATCTTCCAACTTCAGCCACCCATGTACGTTCGGTGACATCACAGCAGCTCAGCCAGTCACACAAAGGGGCCCACTGACAGCTAACAGGTATTGCTAAAGTCAGGGGTCACCAAGCTTTCAATACTGGGATCCCTGAGCTTTTAAATGTGGCACATTTCAGCAAGTCTGGCTTGAAGGTCCAGGGGCTGTATAAAACTGCAGCTACCAAAATTTGTGCACTTTTTAAAAGTAGAGGCACCCTCAATGTTGAAAGTTGATCACCCTGGGTGAGGCTATTCTACGCATTGCGTGATATCTTCCAATGGCAGAATGTGGGTTTCCTTCCTGTTTTTCCTGGTGGCATGGAAGATACCCAGCGGTTGTTTCTCCATCTTCCAGAGTCACAGAGACATAGTTGCCAGCCCTGAGAAAAGAGGTGGGGAGCACCACAGCCCTGCTCATCTCCTTGGTCAGGTGTCCAGTTTTTCTGCTAGGGAGCAAGGAAGGCCTATTACGGAATGCCACAGACTTCCCCTTCCAAGGAGCTTCGGCTCTAGGACGGGAACTAGGAATCTCTTCAGAAAGAAGGGGGCGGGGCGGCAGCAACTGAAGCCTTCACGGCTACCCAGATATCCAAGCAGGATTGCCTGGACGCGGCCCGTTCTCCACCCACCTCCCAGTCCCTGAGTTGCACCCTGGAAGCACCCCTCGGCTTGGTCAGTGAGCGAGGAGGTGCCGAGCGAGGGGCCAGGTGAGGCTGAGGGCGGGGCAGCAGCTGGAGGGACCCTCGACACCAAATAGGAGCCTCTAGCACCAGGGAGGGCAGGCTGCCCAGCCACCCACCAAAGGGGTCCAGGCAGGATGGGGAGAGGGGCCCTCCTCCGGAGCCCTTCTGCAAGCTTCCGGACGAGGCGTTCTCGTGCGCCGAGCTTCTCCTCACCTTCTTCCACTCCTGCTTCGACTTGTCTCCCCCTCGGTTTGATGGAAGGGGTCCGACAAGGGCCAGGGATGCCAGAGAAGCCGCCGGCCACCATTGTCCATGGGTCGCAGAATGTCTTGCGCATCCGTGGGACACCCACCCAGAGAGAGAGGAGGCCTGCTGTTTTCCAGGGATGTCAGCAGGGAGAAGAAGAACAAGATGGGCTGGGGCCGCCTGGAGGCTGAACTGCTGGCAGGGCTGAGGCCTGCTGAGCAGGGTCACAGGGACTGGCCTTCTCTTGGTCTGCGGGGACACAGTGAGGCCTGCGGGAGCAGTGCAAGCCCGAGGAAGCGCTCTCCACCTCTAGTAGCTCAGGCGTGATGGAACTAACAAAGGGTGGCCACTTGGCGCTCCGTGAGCCTGATTCTGAGGGGAAGAGTCCTCTGAGGGAAGTCCAGGGCAGCTGGATCGTTGGCACAAGTACAGAAAAGGGAGGTGCGGGGCCGAACTGTGAGACCAACTGGAGCAGTTTAATCCAGGCCTAAGGGAGCGAGGACTACGTGAGGAGAGGAGCTGCGGCCTCTGGAGCTGGACTGCAGCCTTTGGGGGGGGGGGTGCTAGGGAAGGAGGGCAGGCAGAAGGCAGAAACAAAGTCTGGGTTGACGGGCGGAGCAAAAGCAGGACTGCCGGATGCAGAGCAGCTGCTGTGTGGGGATTACGGCCTTCACGAGGCGCTCGAGCCAGGAAGCTATCTTTGGGAGCCCAACGGCAGCGGAGGAAGGCGGCTGGGGCAGCACCAGGGCCGGCCGGAGCAGTTCAAGCCTGGTGTCGCCGCGGCGGCGACGGCGGGCCCGGGGAGGCCCCTCACTCAGCCGAGCCCTTCTGCCTGCGCTTGGAGGGGGGCACCAGGTGGCGGGGCAGGTCGGATGGCAGGCCGTGGCCCTCCAGCTTGACCTCGATGAGGTGGCTGGCGAGGGCGAACTCCTCGTCGTCCAGCATGCCGTCGCGGTCCACGTCGCTGAGCTTCCAGATCTTGCCCAGGACGGAGTTGGGCAGCTTGGTGGTGACCATCCAGTTCTTGGCCTTGGTCCCGCTCAGCTTGCCATCCGTCGGGGAGAGGTTGTAGAAGATCTCGTCGTACTTGGGCTTGTCCTTGGTCACCACCCAGTCGTCCTCATCCACCCCCTCGTAGGCCCCCTCCGTGGCTCCTTCCACGAAGGGGCCGTTGCGGCTGCCGTCGAAGGCCCCACCCTGCACGATCTGCTCAGGGACCTCCACCTCCTCCTGGCGCAGAAGAGGCATCAGCTTGGCGATGTCCAGCGTCAGCAGCTCGTCCAGCGCATCCATTATGCGCGGCTTCAGCCCGTGGAATTTGGTGAAGTCGTGCACCATCAGCATTTCCTGGGGGAAACCGGGGGGGGGGGGAGATGACACAGCCTGAAGGCGCGGCCCCTTCCTCCTACAGTTACTGATCCTGCACCAACATGTGCCGGCCAGGTGCGCACACAACGCTGGGCCATGCTTTATTTAATGCGCAGTTGGGTACCCTATCCATTTTGCCTGACAGGTGATGACACAAACAATGGTTTGTTGGTCAAGCTGCGGGTTGTGTGTTCCCTCCCCCTTCTCCCATTCCCGGCATGTCATGCTGGCCAGGGTCAGCGGATGGGCGAACACCTGCCTGCCAGTGCGAAGCAGCACCTTGCGAAAGATCCCGGCTGTGGCCAGAAGGAATGGGGGTGGGGGGCAGGCAAGGGATTAAGGGGCTTTCTACAGGGGGGCCAGTGGTTCAAGTGTTGGACTCGGAACTGGGGGATCCAGGTTCCAGTCCTTACTCAGCCATGAAGCCCACTGGGTGATTTTGGGCCGGTCACTGACTCTCAGCCAAGCCTACCTCACAGGGCTGTTGTTGTGAGGATAAAATGGAGAGAAGAAAAAATATGTAAGCTGCCTTGGGTCCCTTGAAAGGGGGAGGACAGAACTATAACAAATGAATAAATAAGAGAAACAGTTGGCTGTTAATTGGCTGTCTCTACATACGGCTTTGCCACAGAATTGCGATCCAAGCACTGCAGGAAGAACGTGCTCCTCCTCCTTTTCTACTGTGTAACCTGCAGCTGGCACTGGGGGGCAGCAAGGCAGTGCCAACATAAAAGAGGAAACCGAAGGCCTTTTGCTTTCGCAATTAAATGCAGCATTTCCCCTGCTTTAAAAAAAAACTCCCTGAAAGGGTTCCTTCAACACTGAAGTGAAAGCGGAGGGTCACGAAGTCATCTGGGGAGCCCATCAACAACCGTAATGCTGTTTAGGGAATGCCGAGCACAAGATACAGGCCTCACGTAGAAAAGCCCGGCAGATCCTGCAAAGGGACTGTGTCATTACTGGAATCGGGATTTAAACCGAGTGGCTCTTTAGAGGGCAAGCAGCTCCCGGCAGGGCACATCAGCTCTGCATTGTGGCACCTTTCAGACTGCAGGGGGAGCTGAGTATTGACGTTATTCGGTATACAGGCACGTGGGTGTGGGGGAAAGAGCAGGTCAGCAAAAAGAAAAATGTTAGCCTGGCCTTTTTCCTGGCAGGCTAGCTTTCTATCTGCAGGATCTCTTTTCCACAGGAAAATACTCAGCCGTACAAGCCGACAACCTGCAGTCAGGCAGTGCACTAGGCAGGAAAAGTTTTAGTCTGAGCTGCCGGCCTAGAGCTGAGGTCAGGGACAAAAGTGGGGCAGGTAACAGCTCCACGCAGGGCGCCACACAAAAATGCGGGGGGGGGGCACACCATTTTAAGGCTTCTCTGTATCACATTCCAATGGCAGAGCCTATAGGCGGCTCTTTGAGGTGGTGGGGGGGGGGGGCCCTGCCCGCACCTGCATCTTGCCGCAATCAGGGAAGTCGCCGGGAGAGATGTGGTGCTCGAGCTGGATTTTGGCAAAGATGACGGGCAGCTTCTGGATGAGCTGCTTCTTCTTGTTGTCCTTGCCAAAGACGGAGGGCATCTCCCTCTTGAGGTGGCTGATGATGTGGGCATGCACCTGGAGACACAGAACAGACGGGGCACATTATGGCTTGTCGGGCAGGGCTCCCCGACCCTTTCGGACCGTGGGGAAGGGAGGGAATTCAAGAAACTGCTCTGGGCACTGCCAGACGATGCCTTGTCCGTTGAGAGCTGCTTTGGCGGCTACCAGTTGTGTCCCTGGATCTGAGGCTGTGCTTTCTTCAAAACACGTGTTTGCTTGGGGTCTGTTGGACACCTCAAGTCTCTTAAATAAGAGATGGTCCGATGCAGAGAACTGCTGGCAGCGCAGTGCAGCTAATGCTTCTTTTCAACACAGGTTCTGGCAATGTCCAGTACCTGCTTCACTTTGGGAGGAGTTTATTGCACAGATAAATTTTGTAGCAGGACAATCTTTAACATTCATGGATGTGCCTGCTCTTTTAAATTACGTACCTGCTTCGTGGAAGAGGAAATGGATCCTCCGCATCATGTTGGAGCTAAAAGACTGGTATTACGAACGGAGAGAATGAATGCTCACCTCCTGCAACACAACGACCGAGCGCCTTAGGTAGCCTGCAGACGCCAGCTCCAAGTACTTGGATATTTGGACAACTTTGGTTGGAGCCTATGTAAAACGACTAGAGTGGTGTATGAAATTCCACACAAAGCCGTGTCCGTATGTGGAGGTGGTAGACCAGGAAGGAAAGGAGCACAGAGAGGAGAGCGTTCGGGGGACAGGGCGTTCAGAGAGCTAAAACGGCCAAAGCAACTGTGAGTGATGTTGGTTCCCATTTCACATGTCACTTCAAACATTGTTCCAGGCTTCCAGGCCAACCGTGTGCCACCAACTCTTTCCCTCAAGGTGCAAGCCCGTGTGTAACAAAGCAAGAGAACATCAGGGAAGCTGCTCGCATGCAGCCCTGGGCTCCCCTTCCCCACATCTGGGTCAGCAGACACCTTCCAGGCTTGCCCCCACCTCCTCGGGCCTTTCTGGGGTCATTTTCTCAGCTCTTGGCTGGATTTATTTCCCAGCACTTCCTGCACAAGGCAACGCAGCCCATTGTCCCGGGCGTAAGGAAATCTCCACCATGTCAGTTCAGCTCGGCTCCCCTTGAGGTGCCAAGCCAAGCTGCAACTGCAGGCGCCTGCAGCGTGAGAGAGCCTTGAAAGCTCAGGCAGGGCAGGATGCCTGAGTGGGGTGGGGTGGGGTGGGAGGAAAGAGATAAGTGGCGGACACATTCACGGAGCGCCAGGTTGTAAATCCTTCTCTGGTCGTGCCAGGGAACAGCCAGACTAGATGGGAACGTGGATCTGAGCACGGCTACCTTGCTCCCGGTCCCGCTCCCCAGCAAACCCGAGTGTTGCTCAGGGGCCGCTTGTGGGAATTCTGGGGCCCTCCAGCAGTCCCTGGAGGCCTCTGAAACCCATGAGCGATAGAAAGACCAGGTGTCCTGCTTTACAGGGGGCAGTCCTCTGTGTTGGAGAGCTGGCAGACAACAGAGATCCTTCAAGTGCGACTGAGAGAATTGTGCCATTGGCATTCTGGCAATTCTGGCACCCCCAGATGCCTTGGGGCTACAGCCCCTGCCAGCCCCAGCCAGGGATTCTATGCACATCCAGGGGACAGCAAGGTCTTTCCTGGTGGTGTAAGCAAACCAAGCACGTATAGGGGGCATGACTTTATTCTGCTTCTACCAGGCACGGTTGTGTGTGGGGGGTGGGGGGCAGCTCCATGCAAGGCAGTGGGCCCTTGAGCCTTGAAAGGGTGATTCCATGACCCCCTCACCTGGGGGTCCACACACGGCTATCAATGCCGCCATAGGGACCAGAAAGCATTTGAAACCCAAACAAAAAGGACTAGATTCTTCGGATTAAGAATGCCTCCCATATTAGGCTCTGCTCGCTTGGGTCAAAGTGCGGCACACACAGAGTCCCGCTTGCTGGCTGGAACTGTTTGCCCAGCCAAGCTGGCGAGCAGAGCCCCACCGGGCCACGTTTCCGGGTCTCAGCTCCAAGGGGGACCCCGAGCTCGGGTAATCTTCTCCCCACCAGCCCCCTCCTTCTGTAGGCACCCCCTTCCAGTCTCACTGCAGCCCCAGGACCGGGGTGCCTCTTGCACTGCAGAAGAGCCCTCCCTGGGGGGTCTTATTTGTTTAACCCACCAGGCTGCCTTTTTTTTCTTTTTTGCTAAGCTGGGAGGAAATGGCCGCTCTGGAAAGGCCTGGCGATACTAATCCATCCTTACAGGTGACAGGAAAAGATAAGCTGGAGAGAGAGAGTCTGGAAAAAACCCAGAAGCTTCCTGAGCTTTGGGGGGACCTGTTGGCTCCTTCTCTGGGAATCCAAACAACCCAGTAACATAATAAGATTTGAGGGAGGGAAGGGAATGGAGGAGCCTGCGAAAACAGCCATCTCTCTCCCTCGTTGAGCAGAATGGCACAAACTGTTCTGCACCCGCCATACTGTATTTTCCGAGGGAAACGCCAGGCGGCAGCTCCTCACAATCCTAACTGAGCCCTGGAACACTCCAGCATGGGGTGCCTCGCTGGGAAACCCCTTGGGCAGACTGCACGGCACCCACCCCCATCCTGGCTTTGACGCAGGGTCGTGTGGGCGGAAAGGCAGCCCAGGCCGGCCACTGCAGGGCTCGGGGGGATCTTTTGGTCCAGCCAGCTACTCACTGCCATGGTGCAGTGGCAGAGTCCTGCTCCGAAGGAAGGAGACCCCAGAGGGCCCCACCGCCTCCACGAAGGGCAGAAAAGGCTCTTTCCTAAACCCTGGAGAGTTGCTCCCGGTCGGTCACCCACACTGGGTTAGGTAAGCCAATGGCCAGAGCCAGTGGCTCAGTCTGCACGACACAACAAGCTGTCCGTTTGTAGGGTTGCCGTCGGCTGGGGCACCCTGATGGCATGTCACAGTGGGAGCCACAATGGGTCCCAACGGAGCTTTGCAGAATCCCCCTGAGAGTGAGGCTTCCCAAAGGATTCACCCAAGGAAAATGATCGATATTTAAATTTTTAAAAGCAACGTATGCTGTCATTTGACACAGTATTGTATGAGACCTCCGCATGATGCTGTGTGTATAGCTGCTCTGTCCGTGTGAAAGAGACAAGCACTGATATTGCCACTCTCTTTTGCTGAAATGCTCCTAATAATAATAATAACAACAACAACAATAGCAGCAGCAGCAACCATGGTTGTTGCGCAGTGCAACGCTTTTCCAGGTGGGTTCACTGCCAGGGGTCGGTGGGGGCAACCCTGCAACAAGCCCTGAGTGGTGCTGGGCACTGCAGTCAGGATGCAGCCCTGCTTCTCCGCCATTCTCCAGGATTCCTTCCTTTAGACGGATGTCCAGAGCCAAGGCAGTGGCCGAAGCGACAAGGCAGCGTCATTTGGTTAATCAAGAGGACGGAAGGTGCTGCCTCATCGGAAAGGCTTAACGAGAAAACCAGAGCGGGATGCAAAGAGAGAGGGAGGGAGGACCTGGGAAAGAGGAAAGGGGTGTCCGAGCCCATAAACACAATGTTCCCTGAAGCACAATAAAGACTTCCTCTGTGGGGACGTGGCCATTGTTCCAGAGGAGGAGGTAGCTGAAGTCCCTTCATCACTGCCTGGAAGAACGGGAAGTGTGGCAATAAAACCTGGTCACTGAGGCAAACATTGGTCTCCACCAATTAGGAAAAGCGAACAGGTTCAAGTGGATGGCGGAAGGGCCTCTATCCAGCAATGGCTGGTCCCATATGTCAGGGATGTGGAATGGGTGACCCTTCGGATCTGATTGGGCTGCAATTCCCATCATCCTTCACCACTGCCTAGGTGGGATAGAACTGATGGGAGTTCAATTGCCCCAGGTATTTCTGATCTATTGCTTGAAACTCTGAGGCAGCTTTCCCCAACGTGGAACCCATCGGATGTGTTGGATTACAGCATCCATCACCCACAGGCAGGATGCTGAAGGTCATCCCACATGGGCTTCAGATACTGGGAGCTGTAAGGAGAACCAGGCTGGGGACAGCAACTTTAAAGTAAAGAATTTTTACAATGGACAAGAACATGTGCAACTTAGAGCTGCTTTCCACAAGGCTTTCAGCCCACTGCTTTGCCGAGGCTTCTGCTTCCAGACTCTGAAAAATTAAGATTGGATCCTTTACACGTGCTTTTTCCTGAGGTTTTCCTTTCTCCGCCTTAGATGTTCCATTGCACAACCACAGGGTGGCACTGCGGTACAGCAGAATTGCAAAAATACAGGAGCATCTCATTCCCCTTCATTCCACCGTTTTCAGGTAATACTACACTTTCCTTGCCCTACAGAAAGCTGTGGAAATGCTCAGAAAGCCCCCGAGAGGCCTTGGAAGACGACAATATCAACTTCATTCACCGCAAACACAACCTTTCTGCTACAATGCCCTCACCTTCAGCAATATTTCCGGTCTCCACCTGTCCCCTTGTGATGGAAATTCTCCCACTGGCCAAACCGAATGCCATCAGACACTGATTCCCGCTATGAATATGAACACATCCAGGCCTGCTCTTCCCTCTGGCCCAGCGCAACAGACTAATCCTGACACTGCTTCAACACGACATGTGCCAATCCTTCAGTCATGCACCCGGTGTTCTCCTGTGAAGTGGGAAATGCCCCATTTCTTCTCCTGCCCCGTATCAGGGCCAACTCCAAGGAAATCCTGGTGGTGCTGCAGCTTCACCTACCCCACTGCGATGAGACGTGCCCTTCCTTTACCTCTGCCTGGTTGGAGGGCAACGTTCTCTGACTGTGGGAGAACGCTGCAGTGGGCCTCCTTTTGGGTATCCTCGCCCAGCCGTCCTGTTCTGACACAGCATCCTCTCAGTCCGCCATGCCCTGCTTTTCCCTCCCATTCCATTGTGACAGAAATGTTCTGCTGGCGGCCAAAGGCATTGCAGCAGAGGAATCGTGCTGGCAAGGCCACGGGCAGAGCCAACACGCTTCCTTTTCCCAGTGGAGTGGAGCTTTCCCCACTGGTGCTGCCCAACCCGAAGCCCCCGCTGCACCACCCGTCCCGTTGCACTGGGGAATGCGGCTGGCCTGACAGCCCTTCCTTAGCATGTCCTTCTTCTTGGACGCTCCTCCAAGCCCCCGGGCTTCCTTGTCTCGGCTCCTTCCCTGCACAGGCGCCCAATACTCACCCGGACCAGACGGGCTCTCTTGACCAAATCGTTAAGCTTCCTCAGGGCAGAATTCCGGGGCAGGTTCTGGATGTCCGTGAACAAGTCCTGCTCCTCGAGCTCAAAGAGCCGTCGGTTGTCAGAGATCATCAGTGGCTCCGACCAGAAGGACCCGATGTAGACACGCAGCACCTCGGGGGTGTTGAACACTTTGCCCAGCGACCACATGAGGGCGCCGTAGACCCGCATCAGTTGCTGCGTCTCCACCATGTCGGCCTTGTTCAGGACCACCCGGATCTTGTCCTCGTTGCCCTTGAGGGCCCGGATGGCCTCCGAGAACTCGTCTGAGATCTCCAGCTTATGGGCGTCAAAGAGGAGGATGATGAGGTCCACACGCTCTGCGAACCACTGCAGCACAGCCGGGAAGTCATAACCTGCGAAGGAGAAGGCAGTCTCACACAGTAAGAGGCTATTTCACACAGCCATGCCAAGTGCGCCCCCACCCAGGTGACCTGCAGCGTTGGGCCATGTGCACTGGGCTTTGGTGTGGAGCACTGCCAGGTGTGGCAAGCTCCGGCTAAGGCATGGAGGTGGTTCTTCGACATTGCAAGCGCGCAACCTTTGGCCCGCGAGGCGAATTCAGCCTTTGGAGGTTGACCGTCTGGTCCGTAGTCCCCAGCCACTTGCTTCCTGAGGCCCCTCCGCAAGCCCTGCCCCCTGGCCCAGAGGCAGCTCAGGGCCTCAGGAGGAATTTGCTGGCAATCTCTAATCTGCAGCAGACAATCACGAGGGGATCTTGCTACATGTCAAGCGGGTGAAAGTGTGAGGTGGGCAAAACCTCATGGCCAAGGTGCACCAGCCAAGATGGCTTCCATGCCTGCAGGCCCTCCCCAGGAGCAGAAGACTGCAGAAGACAGTGGATCAGTCATCCAGGGTGCTGGCAGGGGCTTCAGGACATTGGGGCACATGTGTCCAACACTGGGCCTTTAGGAATAATCTCTCCCTCCCCCAAAGCATTTTGTCCACATCCTCCTGTAGGTGATGTAACTTCGAGAAACACCGGAAACCACTTCATGAGGAATCAGCCCATTGGCCTCTTCAGCACAGTTCTGCCTACACCGAGGGTAGGCAGTTTGGAGCCCTCCAGAGGCTTTGGTCTACAACTCCCGCCTGCCCCAGCCAGCATGGCTAATGGCCAGGGATTCTGGGAGTTGTAGTCCAAAGCATCTGGAACACACTGGGCTGCCTACTCCTGGTCTATGCTAAATGGCAGCAGCTCTCCAAGAATTCAGACGGGAATCTTTCTCTGACCAACCTGGGGGTGTTCCAAGAGTAAACAAAATACCTGACTATACTGGACTAGAGGATCATCCAGCCCCTGTCAAACCCCCCTCCTTGCTCTCCAGGGGCAGGGAAGCACGGGATTTCCCTCTAAAGTTTATCACTCCCTTGTCCTCTATTATTTCCCCTCAAACCACAAGAGTGAGCCTAACATTTTGCAAGTAAGTTTGCTATTCTCCGCAGGCACCACTTCTTTTAATGCTACCCAAAACAGATTTTTGTAACAAAGACAGAGAAGGAAGGAAGGAAGGACGGAAGGACGGACGGAAGGAGAACTAATCTCAGAAAAGAAAAAAGATGGAAAGGAAAAGCAAAAAATAAAAAAGGCCTGTGCCACAAAGAACATTTCTGTAGGGTCCTCCACCCACACCAACCTGGACGCATTTTCCCTGTCCAACGAAAGCAGTTTTGTTTTCACTGTAGGCAATTCTCCTCCTTGCCCCTCTACCCGCCCCATGAAATCTAAACACGTTTCATAGCTGTTGGATGCCCGCCATCAGCTCAGCCGCTCCTGCCTGCCTCTTGGCAGCCACGGCCCACAAGGCCTGTTTCACAGCACCAAAAAAGGAAACCGAGCCGTTCCATAGGAAAGTCTGAGCAACGGGGCCTCATTGTTCTGACGGATTCAAGAAAAATAATAAAGAAGCGTGATCTAAATAAAAGGGCAGGGGGCTGGCCACACGGCCTTATCTCCGTGAGCCATGGGCCTTGCTGGCTTACGCAGGGGAAAGAGAGGACGCCAGAGGTCACTTGCTTCTGCGGAAGAATCTGGAATACTCCACTCCAGATTGGGGTCACAAGATAGAGATACCGAAGGTCAGACAAAGGAACCATTCTCTGCTCCGGGTTTGCCCCTGAACAGACAAGGAAAGACTGGCCAGGCTGAATATAACAGCAAAGTGCTCTGTGGGAGAGCGCCAGTCCCCAGCTTGAAGCACCGGGGCTCAATCTGGAGTGTGGGAGGTCATAGCAAAGCTCCCTCTGGGTATGTGCAGAGTGCTTTTCCCTCCCCACTGAGCAGCCAAAGCCAACCCACAGAATTGTGAACAGGCATTAAGGTGTTAAGAATTGCCAGCGGGGAGTGCTGGCCGGAAACGGGCATCTGTGATGAATGGGCTGCTTCTCGCTTCTCCTCTCCTCTCGGCCAGGTGAACCTCAGGGAAGTTGCTTGTGCACACGGCAGCAAGCCGCTTTAGAGAACTGAACGAATCTCACCGTCGCCTGCAAACACTGTGTCTTTGCAGGGCTTTTTTATCCTTCTCGATCCTTTGGGTGGATTAGTCAGGAGAACACACAGTCCAGCTAGGTATCCACGGCCAGCTTTCCTGGCAAGCGGCCCGTGCCAGTGGCCAGTGCTCTGGCTGGCAGCGGGCCCTGGGCTTCTGGCCAGGACCAGATCCCATCCATGAACAATCTGGCACGGCAGGAGAAGGCTTGGCTCAGGAGACGAGAGGGCTGTTGAGCAGTGATTATTCACTGAAGAAGGATTTTCCAGCCTTTCTCTTGTTTATTTAAGAAAGGGAAGGAGGAAGAGGAGGAGGGATGAAGTGAAGGTTTCCAAGTTCCTCCTGCAAAATGAATGATCCGAAACAGCTCATAATGGAATCTGACTCAAGAGATATTGCCAGATGGAAAAGAATTCCACATTCAGGCGAGGATAAAAGGCCTCTGTATGAGGTGGGGCTTCTGCTCGTTTGCATGGGAGTCCGGCATTCGTTGGGTCGGCACCTCTGCTGTTCCCACATGGGCCAGGGATGGGTTCAGAATGCAAGTTCGCTCTGTTTGTAATGCTCAGAGAGCTGTTGCAAACTAGGCACTGTTCCTCCGAGTTCTTCTCTGCTTCTTGTGAAGAAAAAATAAGATGGTGCATGTGTGCCGCCTGCGTTTGGATAGCACCCCTTTACTCTTGAGGAAGAGCTCATGACTGCTCCCTGGGAAGGCCTGTGGCCACCTGGCCAGGCTGCTTTGCATTCAGCCCCTCGGTACAGGGCAGCTTCCTCAGCTGCTTCTTGCTGCCTCCCCCGTCCAGCTCCTGCTCCGGCTGGATGGGAAATTCTGTGAGTGGCAGTCCGAATTTCCTCTGGAAGCCACCAAGCTGGGGAGCCTGATTTTGATCCATGTCTGCCTGGCCCTGGACAAGCATGCCAAGTCAAGCGCAGGCTTCGGAGGATCTGGAACAAGGATCACGAAGGGCAGAGGTGGAAATACGGGTTTCTAGGCGCAGTATGTGAGCCAGGCCAGACAAGGCAGCAGAGGCCACGGATGCCCCAGCTGTGGTGCTTAGTCAACTCTTGGGAAGAGGCTGCTGACCTTTCACAGCTGCTCATCAGGCAGATATTCAACGGGTGAAGCCATTTCTTTCTCTGTCTCCTGCTTCCCCATGCCGAGCAATGCTTTCCTCTGCTGAATTCATGCCTGTCACGCCGCCACTCAAAAGCACAGCAGGGCTCGAGATTCTGGTGCCCTCGTTTGGATGTCCAATTCTGGTGGGTGCTTTTCTGCAACTGCCGGCACCAGCACACCCCGGAGGAAGAGAAGCCATTCACCGTGGCAGGCAGGCAGGCAGGCAGCTGGCTCCGAACGTGTGCCGACTCGCGGCGGGAATTTCCTCTCCGCTCTGGAACCCCCATGGCTGCGCAGCTGCGCACAGGTGAGGGAGCCAAGGAAAAGGGCGGGGGGGCAGGGGGGCGGGAGGCAAGCCTGGACTGGCAAAACGGTTCAGAGGGAGGGGAGAAAAGCCCATGGCTGGCATGGCTGTGGCCGCCCTCCTCAAGTCACAGGGACCCTCTGAAAAACTCGAACAGCCAGCGAGTGTGTGCGTTCGCAGTGGTAACATTCAGGTCAAGCAGGCCTGTACAATTTGCAGCCTGCTGAGCTAGGAAAAGCCCTATCCCCTGGAGCCTGGCAGCGTGCCCCGTGCTTTAAGAAGGCCCTGTTCTCGCCGTCCCAGGAACCCCACCAGCCACACAACGGAACCAAGCAGGTTTGCCAAGGATCATGCCTGCTATGACGGGTTGCCTGAGTATTCGGATTAGCTTTGGGTCTCCCTGGGTGGACAGGTGACCTCTTCTATGGAGAACAGAACTCTGTTTGCAGGCAACCCCACCCTTGCCTACTTCTGGAAAGGCTGCTCGGTGCAAGTCTAATTTAAAAAGAAAGGCCTGTGAAAGAGCGCCTGCACAATAAAGCAAACAGGCAGGAATACGGCTCAGCACAGCAGGCTTCCACACAGTGGTAGGATGCACCATGTCACTTGTCTGCCCCCAGTTTTCCAGCTCCCACCTTCACATGTGTACACGCAGGCACACCACGTCCGCCCCTGGACACAAGCCCTTCCTCCTCCGTCCCTGGCACGCCCGGGACATTCCTCAGCATTTTGCACAGTGAATCATCCTGTCTTCAGTTGCCATGGCGCAAGGACTGCTCTTTCCCATAGACACCGGCTGACTGGCCTCTCACCCTCCTCCATTTTGCAGCACGCATTCCCCTCCAGTCCCTCCTGAGACCGCAAGAAGGCGGCCAGCCCTAATTCCAGCCAAACCTCACCCAGGCTTAACCCTGCAAAGTATAAAGCGATCGCATCCTAGACAAGAGAGCGTCTTTGTGCATACGCGGAACGCCTCACCTTTGGATGGAAATACTGTTGCTAGGATTATTAAACACAAGCGTGACCAGTCTCCAAAAGAGGACAGAGGACCAGTGATACATCAAGCAGGGTGCCTCACAATCTTTCCCGTGACCCCTGAAAACAGTCCTCTCAGGAAAGCTCCAGGTAATACTCATCTCCCGCCCAGCCACCCTGAGTGAAATGCAGAAGCTCACCAGCCCTGGGGCTGGGCCAGAAACGTCCGCTGGCCCTGACGGCCGCGACCTAGCCTCAGCACCCGGCCCAGCGCTCTCTGCACCAACGCCCTGGCTACTCCTTGCGTCTTCTGCACCAAGCAACTGCCCCACTCAGTCTAACAGTAGGGCCGGGCAGCATGTTCCAGGGCTGCCAATGTCACCCACCCACACTTTTTTGCCTCCAGGGTTGGCAGTTTGGGGGCAGGCAGCTCTTGGCCTTGGGGCCTCCAGCTGCTGACTGGGGCCAAGCTCACTTGCAGAAAAGATCGATGGTGAAGGCAGAGCCCAGCTGCAGGAGAATAATGGGCTGTTGTAAGAGAGCTTTAGAAGAACACACCATCTTTCAGGCCAAGGAAAATCTTGACCATGGGGATAGATTTCTGGCAAGGAGTCGCAGTAAACAAGGCCGAGTTTGCCCAGGGCGTGGCCTCCCCTTCTTTCCACTCCACCCTCTTCGCCGAGGTGGGACATGTCCAGATTCTCTACATACTTCAGTGCAAAGTGTGGAGATAATGCGAGAAGGCCGCTTGAGGCTTTCCGGGGGTGCCCAGCAACCAAGAAATATTAGGAGAGGGCTTAGGAAAGAGCTCTCCCTGCCCACGGAATGAAAAGGCACCGAGGCCAGGCCCATCCTGTGCAGCGGGAGCCAGCAGTTCCAAGGGGAGATGAATACAGCAGGGCTAATGTCAGCGAGAAAGCACAAAGGCTTCCCCCAGCCACACCCTGCGTGAGTGGAACATGCCGGCACTGGCTGTCCTGGAAAAGAGCAAATGCACCATCTCCGAACCTCCAGTGGCCATGTGTTTCCACTGAAATTCCCATCAAGCAGTCTTTGCAAAGACTTCCCCTGGTATGCTCAAAACAACAGCCATGCCAAGCATGGGAAGCTGCTTGCCTGACACCGAGGTTCTTCCCCACATCCAAAATGTAAAACTTTTCCCTTGTGCCACTGCATGGAGGTCGGGCAGCTTTCCCCAAAAATATGAACATGTTTGAACACGTCTGTGAATGTGAATGATGGGTTGGAGATGGCTGGGTACACAAAGACGAAACGTGTGTGTACACACCAAAGCCACTCTCAGCTCTCAGAAAGCGAATTCTGCCTCCAGTCCAAATCATGTCCGTCCCTTCCCTCTTAAAGACACTACTAATTAATCTTTTATGCCAGCCTGGCCACCCCGCCTTCCTTACAGCTTTCCCCATTCCCAGCGAGGCCTCCCTCTGCCCCAAGGCCCCAGTCTGCACCAAAAAACTACACAGAACAGTCTCTTCTTCCCTGACAAGTTAGACAGAGGCCCTCCCTTGGCTTTTCACCTGGGAGCTGGAAAAGTTCACCCACGAAGCCTTGGTCACACCCCTGCTCAGAAGCACTCCTTCCCCACAGAGGCCCGTCCTCCCCACTGCCCCATGTCCATGCTGAAGAAGAGCTCCATGTCCCCCACAAGCCTGCCTGGGGCTGCTGAAAGGCTGCTTGTTCCCAGTGAAACAGTCCTCGCCGTGGCCGACTGGAGACGCTTATGGACTCGGGCTGGAAGGCCCTGCATCCAGAGCTCTCTGAAGACAAAACGCTCCCTTGACCACGTTGGTCCAGCCGCTGCCTCTTCACTTCTCGTGGCGGAAAAGGCTGTCGCTGGCGACTCGTTCTGGCGGCTGCAGACTGCGTCTAGGCCCAGAGGACGCAGTCCTCCATGTTCCAAGAACTGGGGGACACGAGTGTGGGAGATGCTACCACACGTGTGTCCTGGCTGGGGGCTTCCCACGGAGGCCTCCGGCTGTCCACTGCGTAAGCAGAACGCTGGACGAGTGATGCCCGATTCATCCAGGCAGGCCTTCTTTTGTCCTACCTTGCAGGGCTCCTGTGAGCATTAAAGAGAGGGAACCCTCAGCCGTGCCCTTCTGCATTCCAGGGTGCAGCTTCTGCTAAGGACCCTGGGAAATGTTACGACTTGTTTATGTTTTTCAAGGGCTTTATCTGGCGCCCCTTGCCTTTTCTCCTTCGTCTCTCACCATTCGCCCTTCAAGCATTTTTTGGTCTCACCTTGTCCCCCTCTTGGCTAAACTTGGCACAATTGGACCCAAGAGCACCCTTGACATGCACCGGAATGCAGAGAGCACATCCAGAGAATGGGTTTATCTGCGGATGCCTTTGCTCGCTCACTCGTTCGCGCTCTCTCTCTCTCTCTCTCTCTCTTGTACATTCTGTTCCCACTCAATAGTTGCCCTTGTAACCAATTCGTTCCTGCATTTGCTAAACTTTTCCTTGCATTTTGTAAGCACTGTGTGTGTGTGTGTGTTTGGCAAAGGTTGCTGGCCACACAAACTAAACTGAACAGTTACATCTACGCTCACGGTCTCTCCCTCTCCCTCTCCCTCGTCTTCCCCCAGATTTACTCCCTCTTCTCTTAAACTTTGACTTGGAGCAAGAGTGAACATTTTACAATTCACAAAGCCAAACGCAGCCGTGTTAGTGACAGCTCCATAAATGCGGCATTTGACCGGCCTGAAAATGCTCACAGGGCATCGTGGGGCTGGCGCTCATGTGGCCCCAGTGCTCCAAAATCTATATTCCTGTAGAAGCTTTATTAGGGCAACCAAAAAAAAAGACAATAATGTGCAAGCTTTTGAGATCTGGTGTCTGCACAGGGAAGATGCTACAAAAAGCAGGATGTGCAGAGGGTGAAGGGGAGAGAAAAGGACACTGTATTATGTACTGCACTCGGCTCCATGGTTTCTGCAGGCTCAGCTTCACATTACCACGCTTCCCTCTTCTCCAACCATCTTTTTGTACACACAATCATGTTGTGTATGTGTGTTAAAGAGGAAGCGAGTGAGCCTCTAATGTTTGTCCCACACTGACCCTGAAGCTTTGACAGCAGCCTGGGATGGAGAAATCCAGTGGGTGATACTTTTCCTATCATGGGGAATTAAACAGTGAGGAACAGTGTCAGCCAGTCCTGCCCCGGCTGGTGTCCTCAGCTAGCTCTAGCTTATCAAGTTGCTGCTGATAAGCACAGGGGCAGAGTCAGGAAAAAAGCTGGCTACTTTAATCCTGTCTTGCCCAGCCAGCTGCCTCCTTTGTTTTGAAATGGACAGCGCACTCTGTTTCCCCGGAAATCAGCCCTAAGGCCAAATCACTATGTGCCAGAGCAGGCCTAGCGGGCAGGCAGGAAGAGCATGGAGCCTGGCACTTCAGGCATGGCCACGGGCCAGGGAAACACCCGGGGACACAGCTGGCAGACTCAGAGGGATGAGCCCAAGCCACGGCGTGCTCCGCGGCAGAGGCCAAAGCACAGCGAGTCCGGCAGCATCGGAGACGTGGCCGCAGAGCCAGGGCTACAACCCCACTCTGTCCACACCACTCCAGCCTCCCAGGGTTTACCATCAAGCAGCCCCTTCCTGCTGACATATGGGGGGCCCTTCTGCCTTCGCTCTCCTCCAAACCTTAAAGCTTTAGCATCACTGCTTAAGCTGAACCTTAATCCCCAGGTACAGGGCTGGATAACTTCAGCCAGATCTGGCTTGCCTCAGCTTCTAATCCAACCCTCCAGGGTCCCTGGATGGCCATGCCCCCTTCCCCACACTGCCGATGGAGGTTTCCTGGCTTTTGCACTCCCCAGACCTCTTGGTACATTGGCCCCGTCCCACTTTGGCCCCGCCCCTTTGCCTACAGCCCCACCCACCACTGGGGTGCACCCCCAAGAACTTCTCTGACATGGAATTTGGGCCTCTTCCTGGATGAGGTTAATCACACTGGCCCAACGGAGTGGCTTCTGGACCAGCATTTATCAGCATGAAATGCTCCTTCACTCGCATTTAAGGGCAGAGTCACCCAGAACTTCCCAGTAGCTGCCATTACTCACCGTGTTAAACCAGTGGTGAACATAAAAGTTATTCTTTATCATTTAACAGATGGATATGATGCTATAACACATTCACTGAAGTGGTAGTTTGCTGTTATTTTAATCTTGATATATGTTTTAGAACTAGACTGAAAACAAGCGGCAGCCACTCCAGAAGGTGTGGCAAGTACGTGGCCTTCTGCAAAAGGTTCACCTCCCCAGCGAGACGCCACCCTCATCAAAGCCACAGAAGAGGGGAACCAGCATGGCCAGGATTCTGGAATCCAAGATGTGATGACAGACTGAAGGGGCGAGTATGGATTGACGTGGGTTGTTGCTGAAACAGGGGTTATGGTCTTGTGTGATTCCAGCCAAGATAACAAACCATGCTTTGTTCACCATGAACAGCCCACAGTTTGCGACCTAACAAGAAACCATGGGTTCTCTTTGTGAGTTGTTCCTTGTTAGCACAGCCGGCTTCAAAGAAAACAGTGACCCACATTTCAACAACAATTCACAGTTCAACAGCAAGGGCTCAGTGTGGTTGTCAAGCTGGTCTTTAAAACTGCCTTTGAAAGAAAAGGGTTTGCTTAGCCAGGAGGACAGAAGATCACAGCGAGACAGGACAGCTACCATCAGATCTCAGTAGAGTTGTACTCTGTTGCTCCAGCACTAGAATGAAGAGGTGGATATGGCTGGATGAGCTTCCCCGTAGTAGGAGCTGTTCAGAAGTGGAGCGGAATGACTCTCCTGCACTGGAAGCATTTAAGCAGGACCCAGATGGCCACCTGTCAGGCACGCTGTAGCGCGTGCTGTGCTGAGCAGCGGGGAGTTGGTCTAGAAGACCTTTAGGGTCCTTTCCAAGTCTATGATTCCATGGCTGACTTTGAGTATGCATTAAAAGAGAGTACAAAAAGCCTGCTTGTTCCAGTGTGCCAGGGCGAGTTTAAGCAGGCCCCAACTTTGCTCCTAGCAGGTCACCTTACCTCTGCTCACACGCTGCTTAGCACCTGACAGGATCCCCGGCGTGTCGATGAGGCTGATGCTTTCCAGAACCTGGTTGGGCAAGTGGGCACACATGAACCTAGGAGGAGAGAAGAGGCCAGAGGCCAGGTGAGGGCTGGCAGAGCAGGGCAGGGCAGCAACAAAAAGGGAGAGGCACCTACGTAAGAGTAGCGGTAAAAATGAGCCAAGAAGCTGGAAACCATGTTATCCGAAGCCCTGAGCAAGCCCAGTGGTGTCACTGGGAAAGTCTTCAGAAAACTCACAGATCAGTCGACAGCATCTTCGGTTGATTAATCTGCTCTGCCAGCGAAAGATCGCAGCCCTGTTTCAAAGGGTGGAATGAACTCATCCCTTTGAATCGCAACTGCATATATTAGAGTGGGTTTAAAATATTAAGAAATAACCAAGAACTTGATTCTAGGGATAGTTATTTTGAGCCAAATCCACTGAGTTCAGTGGGACTTTTGCGTAAGTAACGAAAGCTTGCAGCCCCAAGGATGTGAGATCTGTACCATTTCTCTTAAAGACTCAATGAGCGTTTTGCCTTCTTTCTGCATCAAAGTTGCCTTCATGCTCCACCAGATTCTGTCTCATAGTTATGGAGGGGCAGGGAGGGAAGGATAAATCAGATTCTGGGGTCCCAGCGGAGATCTCCAGGGATTCATCTGCAAATGCGGAGCAAGCGCTGAGGCAAACGTTGCCAAAAGTCAGGCGGTGCTGTGTGCCTGAAGTGCAGTTTTTGTTTACAAACCCCCTGAAGGAGGAAGGAGCACAGTTCACCCAGTATAAACAAGGATGCTAAAAGTAGACCCTTCCGGAAAATATGTAGGGACATTCCACTCGGCAGTTTCCCACTGTCGTGCAATGAACAGTAGCTTTAAAGAAGACTGCTTTAGTTGGGGGGCGGGGGCACATTTTTTAAAAATGGGAACATGCTCTCAGCTGTATCTTTACGCTACAGCTGGCGGAAATCATGGCGAAGCGTGGAGATGCAACGATAAAACATCGTGGATTTCTGCCAGACAGGCAGCAGCTAGCCTGATCCTTTAAGAAGGCTGGCGAATCAAGGGCACCCCCAACTCTAGTACCCTTCACCCCACCTTTGTGTACTTTGCATCCTCCAATTCTCAGACCCAAATCTACTTAATAGGAGGCCAGGGCAGCTGGGAATGATGGAGTTCCATCTGGAAGGCTGGCATTGTACATGCACATGCAAAGTACGTCCCATCCGTTCCCTCCGCCTCTTGGGAGTGAGCGAGGCGGTCATTCCTGGTGCTCCTTCCAGGGCCAGGGCGGCACCAACTCTTCGGATGAGGACAGCGAGGGCTGGGAAGCAAGGTCTGTGGACACAGAGACTGCGGAAGAAGGCGGCCCCATCTTGGAACAACTGTGTGTGTGCATGTTTGCACACGCACACGCACACGCACACACACACACACACACATATATAAATAAAGTAAAATATGGCTAAGGCTGGCGAGCACCTATTTTTCTAGCTTCACCACCTGGACAAACCTGAGAGCCGCAGCGCTCTGCCATCTTCTGCAGCCGTCCAGCCTGCAAACCCGCTCCTTTTTTCAACAGCCGGCACACACGGATGGGCGGTTGCTTTCCAGCCGTCCAGGAGACGGGGTGTTCCTAGGACAACCTGGCACAGAGAGCCCTGCTGCATTCCAGGGAGGCTGGCTTGCACGCTGCCTCCCCTGCCCCACAAGCACTATAGCCTGTCTCCTGCCTTCCTCTCCGCAGCCCCACCAGAAGATAGGGAAGGTGGAAACAGGTGCCCTTTGCATTCTTCCCAGTGCTTTCCCTGCCACCACCTGATTTCTGCGAGGAGGCTGGATAGCCTCTGCAACGCTATGAAAGAAGGAGTGGGAGAGGGACTTCCCAAGGTCTGGGAGGGAAGCGAGGGGGACTGGTGCCTAGTGGGTAGAGCACGCCTTGGAGGCCAAGAGCCCCAAATGTTATGATACTAGGTATCATTTTATTGCTGTTACGTGAAGGCTCTTGCCTGACGGAAAGGTGGCGAATGAAATTAAATACTCGACCTCTGGGATTTAAAAGGATTCCCCCTGGTTTCCCCCATGTTAACACTGCCCTGTTCTTATAACACCCACTTCTGAAATAGGATGCTGATTTCAGCATCGCCTGCTCAGGTGATCCTGTGAGGTGGCAGGTCTTCTCTGCTCCTCTGACGGGAGTCCTTCTCCTAGCCTCCTCCCAAAGCCCACAGCAGCTGCCAGGCCAGAATGGAGGCCAAAGGAGGGAGCTCAAGCACTCGTGGGCCAGGCCGGCAACCTTTGCGGGCCAGGTCAGGCCTGCAGGCTGGCAGCTGCCTGCCTCTTCTCTAGCTGCAGCCTGAGGTGCAGCAGTCGGTGCTTCACGTTAGCGGTCAAAGGCACCGGGCCAGTAAAATGTTGGCAACCCTACTGAAGAAAGTAGGTAGGGTTGCCAACTTTTCAACTTGCTACTGCAACTGTGTCTTTGCCAGAGGCTTCATCTTCAGATGGGATCAAATGAAAAGGTTTCTCTCCAGCCTGTCAGAAGCTTCACTTCCTGGTGCTGCCAGCACAAGAGCAGCGCAAAACACAAGAGCAGACTTGGCCAAGTCTTCTCATGATCAGCTGGCAAACCAGGGACAGGAAACATTTTCCTGCAAGGGCCACATTCCTTCAGGGATAACGGAGGTGGGGGCAGACCAAAGTGGAAGGGTCCATCACCTCTCTCTCTCTCTCTCTCTCTTGCTGACCCTCCCTTCTCCCCCCCGCCCCTTCCTCATGTCCACTCTGCCCAACACTCTGAACAGAGGTCTTTTGAAACTAAGCAGAGAACAAGACTTCAGGTTGCCCCCTGTGGTAGGATATATTGCCCTACGGAATGCTGCTGCAGTTTTCATAACCGCAGAGGTGAGAAACGGAGAGAAAGGGGTGTGAATTTCCTGTCACTGAAGCACCGCGATGGCAAAGCACAGAACACTGGGCAAACTTCTGTGCAATCTGAGCAGCGCAGAGGTGGGGCCCACAATTGTAATACTCCCACTCGTGGGTGGGCTGAGGGGCCAGGAGAGCTGGACTCCGGCCATCCGCACGGGGAATTGGCACGGCACAACCATTACGTGCATCTGCCAGGAGCCTGGAACGTCCCGCCCGCTGTGTCACCCAAGTTTCTTTCTCCCATCTGCAAAAAGAAGACCTGAATACTGACACGCCTTACAGGGATGGCACAGGGATTACCTGAGTAATGCATGCGGAGTGAACTGAGCCTTCTATGACAAGGTGCGGGGAGAAAGCGGATCTCTAAATATTTCAGGTCTCATTTCCAGTATGCCAGGCAGGAACTTCTGGGAATGGAACTCCAAAACATCCAGAGATCTGCCTTCTGAGAGCCCTGACCAACTCCCAGCACCAAAGGATACTGGAAGTTGTAGTCCAACCCATCTGGGAAGCACCAAGTTGGGGAAGGTTGCTGCAGTGCAAACTATGGCTGGCAACCCACAGAGGGTGGGGATAACATCTTTTAAACCAGTGCAGGAGGACAGAAGGGGAAATTACCCTGCTCTTCCCCAGAACGATTCCAGTTTATCTAAATCCTTCTTAAACTGTGGGCCCAGAACTGAGCACCGTATTTGGAGTGAGGTCTGACCAAAGGTAGAATGGAATGATTACTTCCCATGATTTTGGAAGAATGCTTTTTAAGAGTGCAATGGCCCCTTTTGCAGCCATGTCACACTGGAAGCTTGTGTTCAGCTTGTGATCAAGCACCACCCCAAAATCTTTTTCACGTGCATCATCACCAAGGCTGGTAATGTGATCTTCTATCTGTGCTTCTGATTTCTTTTCCCCACATTTAGATCCACAAGAGGGGCTGCTGCACTTTTGGAAGAGAGAATTTTGCTAGGCCATCTTTTTAAGGTGATGAAAAAAAACCCGACACCAACGTTTTGGAATTCCCTTGCCCGTGCCACAACTAACATCAAGGAAGCCCCCCTTGCAGTCCAGTTTGCACACCCTGGCAGGGGGAGCAAGCTGACATGGTTTGAGAAGTGCATGTAGGTAGCTTTATGCACTGAACTTGAAAGGTTCCATGCATCCTGCCCTGCCCTGCCCTGCCCTGGATGGTGATGAGGACCACTTCAAAATGAAGGTCTCCCTGATGTCTTTGGGGACCCTCCTATCGACGCTGCTGAGTGGAACCCTGCACATCTGCCCCAAAGCGCTGCCTCTGCAGCACCACTGGATGGCTGGCACCCTTTTGCTGGTGCAGTTGCTCACATGCCTGTAAAACAGGGCTTGACAGCAAACAGCCCTCGGCCACCCCCAGCATCCTTGGCCTTTTGCGCAGTCGCAGCAGCCCCCCCCCCCCCAAATCTCTGCAACTGAGCTCTCTGCAGCCCCTGCAGCAGCAGCCATCGCAAACCCACCCATCATTGTGCCGTAAAACAAGCCATGCGGGGAGCAGAAGCACATCCCCAGCAGCACTGAGAGAAAATTCAGCAGGGTGTGGCAGGGGTGAACCTTCCCCATGTGCCCCAGGCAGGTTTGCCCACCACTTTGAAAGCTGCAGGCCATTTGTTTCCAGCACTCAGAGGAATGCCAGGCCAAGGACGTTAGCATCTGTTGGATGTCTGGTCGTCAGGTTTTTTGCGTCCTGTCACCCAGTGGGGAAGGAAGGGTGAGAACACCAGGAAAAGCCCATCACGGGGCTTCTGGGGACAGACAGTGGAACAAGGGCAGGAGCGACCATTCCACCGCCATTTTCAAGGGGAGAATCCAGGCTTGAACTAAGTTCTGCCCTGCCCTTAACCGCCTCTAGAATGCTTCTCTGAAACTGGGTGGTCAAGAGGACCCAGAAATAGGCTCGATGCTGACTCAAAGTGGGACATACCAGAAAACCACCAGTCTTTCCTTTTTGTTTGCAAGTTACTTTTTAAAGAGAAGGGGAAAGACAGGTAGAAGTTGGCAACCAGGTACAAAGGCGCTCCTGTCTCTAACACAGATGAGGGAGCTTCTGGCTTGGGCAGCTTCTCTTTCCAGTTGCAGGACAGGCTTTCACTTGATGAAACCTCATCTTTGTTCTTCTTTATATGTAAGGAATGGCTGTCATGCTCCTCTGGTTAAAAACCTTTCAGATCTGCTGTTAAGGACACAGTGGAAAGCCAGAGGGGGTGGGGGAGGCATAGCAGTCAAGAGTGTCCGATTAAGACTGGCGAGGCCCAGGTTCAAATCTCTGCCCAGACATATAGCTCCATGACCGATCTTGAGACGGCCACCATTTTTTGGTCCATTCTACCTCGCAGAGTTGTTGTGAGGCTAAACATGAAATGGGGAGAGAAGACCTATTTATACTGCTAGATAGGTAGGGGAGTTCCAGATCTGATTAGCAAAGGCACACACAAGGTGAGAAAGAGAGGATGCTCATATAGGGTTAAAACATTGAAATTTAGTGCCATGCTGCTTGTCTGGAAGCTGCTGGCTCATTTAGACCAACACTGAATGCCAGCAGCTCCCCTGGGTTTCAGGTGGGAGCTTTTCCTGCCTCACCTGAAGATCCCGGGGATTCACACGCAGGACCCGCTTCATGCAAAGCAGGTGCTCTACCCACCGAGCCGCAGCCCCTTTTTGTCAGCTAAGAGAAGCAGGTCTCAGGTCTGAAACGGTTGACACCCACCACTGCAGAGCCCCATGTCACTATTCTGAGGCTCACTAAAGGACGCAACGGACACAAGGCCAGAAAAGATGGGAGAAGGAAGATGGCGCCCTGGTACACTCACCGGTTCAGAAAGGTGTTCCCAAAGGGGTTCAGTTTTCGGAAGGGCTTCTTGGGGTCCACAATGAGGGCATTGCCTGGTATGATCCCCTCTGTTTCGCCATGCATGACAGCGATGAACGAGTCAGTGGTAGGCTCTGGGCCAATGCGGCTCCCAGGGATGTCCTGTTCCAGCAGGTACTTGATAAAGGTGGTCTTGCCAGTAGAGTATTGGCCCACCACCAGCACCATGGGCTTGTTGTCAAAGTCAGCATCCTCCAAGGCCGGTGAGTGAAAATCATGGAACCGGTAAAACTCCTCCACAGGCAGCAGCTTCCTCTTGTAGAGGTCCTTCAGACCCTCCGTAACTGTGCGGATCACTTCTGGGGTCTTCTTCTCATTCTTCTTCATCCAGCTGAACATGTTGCCAACCTGAGAGAGAGGCACAAGGCCCACCTCCTTGGAAATAAACTCTAAATTGAGAAATCAAGGGTGATAACAAAAACCAGGAGGGAAAGAACCTTGGCTGGAGATGAATGTTTTGATGGGCTGGCCTTTTAGAGGACTATATCAAGATCAACAGGAACAGGGAAGGCCCCAAAAATGGCATCCAAAGATCTCAGTATACAGTCAGTTGGTGAGTCTCTAATCCTTCCAGGACCTCAGATCAAATGAATCAACAGATCCTTTGGGTGGTGTCTGCAGATCTTCTAAGTCAAAGATACTTGAGCGGGTTGCTCCAGATCTTGAAGGGTGTTCAAGAGCTTTGTTTGGTAGATTCCAGGGGAAAAATAATCTCTCCTGTAGAAGTCACCAATCTCTGGTGCTAAACTTGCTTATTCTCTGAGATTCAGGTGCACAAAAAGCACAGGATTTACTTTGCCACTGGATTCACACAAACTGGATCAGAAAGAAAAGCTCCCGTGCAGGAATCACTAGGTTTCTTCGGTCTCTTTCGTCTCCAAAATGCTGTGGGAAGAGGCAGTGTGCCAGCACAAAGTGCGGTCCAGGCTAGGGTGGAGCGTGGAACTCACAGACCAATGTCAGCTTCAGATGGAAAATCCCTCCTGGTTGTTTGTTTGTGGAAATGCAGGCTTTTCCCACCCTTCTGGCGTCCCAAATAGCATCTGAGCAGGACTCCAGTTCGGACTAGATGTTGGTTATCCAGAGGAGCAGCTGCCAGAAGGCAGGGGGCAGAATACACCAACATAAATAATCCAGGAAAGAGGGAGAGGCTTGGGATGGCCCGAACTGAGAAGAAGTAATGCGCAAAAAGTCACGCACATTTTCCCTCCCTCTCCAAAGTTAGGAGGATGCGGGCCTGGCAAATACAGGTCTCTGATGCCACCCTGTGGCCCGGAAGGGGAAAATAAGGCCAGAGTAAACGTGGAGGGAAGATGAGCTTCATTTCCAGCCATACAGAAGTGTCCCAGGGAAGGAGGATGAGCTAGAGTGCAGCAGGGGAAGATGCTAGGCCAGGGATGGGCCACTTCAAAGGTGGGGGCTTCAGAGGTGGGGGCTGCGGCCTTCTTGCTGCAGGCTGCTCTGCAGCCACCTGGATGGGCCAGAAGCAGCAACAGACCCACACTGAAGCTTTAAATTTATTCCCTTTAAGCCTCTGCAGTGGTGTGCTACCTTTTTAGGCATCACAGCTGTTTCTCCAGCAGTGGGGCAGAGGACGCATCAGAGGTGCCAGCCCTCCGGGAGATGCACCCAGATCAAAGAGCAGAGACAAGGCACCCAGCAAGAGGCCCAAGGCACGGCTGCAAGCAGGGTTCAGGCAGGACGGAAGACAGTCCATGGCCAGCCCACAAGAGATTCAGTCCAGGGAGAGTTAAGTGAGACACCACGGCTGACAAGGGCCGGGTGGGAAGTAGGGCCAAAAAGCAGTCCAGAGGTATGCACGTGGGGTTCAGTCCAGTGCAGCGCTGGAGAGCCTCGGGCAAGGACAGCAGGAGCTAAAAGAGATGGATGGACGTGGTTTCCAGCAGGTGATTTGGGGCTACTCTCCACCTGAAGTACCCCACAGGGTGGTTGTAAGGTGATTTGGAGTGGTCATTGCATGCTTCAGGTTTCTCCCCAATTGCAGGATGCAATTGGTAGAGTCTGCAAAGAACTCTGATGCCTTGGAGATCTGCCATTTAAGTGTGGATGCACTAGAAGAGAGGACATGTCCTGACTCCTGGAATGTCAACAGCTTCCAAGGTTCCTGGGCCAAAGGCCACATTGGTGGCGGATGCTGGACCTTCCATCCATGGAGTAATCTTGGGGCAGGAAGGCAGTGGACTGGATGGAAAGTACTTAGTGGGTGTGGGTCATGTAGGAATGCAGAGCTGAGGAACATCAGACCGAGGCCCTTTCACTCCGCCCTTTGCCACTTCTTGTGCATTCCCCATGAAAGACCTCGCTTGGATTCTTGGCCAGTCATTCCCAAGGGACTGAGAACACCTTGGGATGCAGAAGGTCATGTTTGCTTTATTCTCAGGGTTGGCAGCTGGTACCAGTTGCCGCTGCACAAGGTTTACGCCCATCCTTGCAGGCACCAGGTGACTGCACGTGTCCAGCTATCTGAGTGGTTACACTATCTGTGTGTGCCTTGGCATCTAGATACCTTTTGGATGGACCCCTCAGTTTCATATTTTGCTGCAAGAACCAGATGAGGCCAAGTACAAGCATCCTTCTTATTTCCTTGATACAGAAGGACTGTCACAAGAGCAGGCAATAGAGAAAGGACTTCTGGGCATCGGTGTTTATATCTTCCCGGAAACTTGTGGAGCAAATGCCTCAGAATCTAATCCTGTACTCCCAAGTCTCAGTCCTGCCCTCTTAACCACAATAGCACACCACACGTTTCAATTCCAGAATTAATTTTAGGTTGCAATCCTCTGGCTACGTACCTGACTGTAAGCCAACTCACTCTCTGAGGAGATGTGCATAAGATTATATTCTGAAATTCTCCTCTTGAAACTGAACTTTAACAGGAGTGGAACCCATGTCAGAAAAATCTTGACAAGCTTCTCCCAGCCCTGTTCCTTATTAAGACTTTTTTATCCAGATGTAAACATCTATGATTGCCAACTTTTTAGTAGTCTTGCTTCTCTGTGCTTTACCACAGCCTCTTCTACGATAAAAATTAAGCAAGACAGATAAACTCAATGGGCAGAACTACACAACCCAAGAGGCCATGATGAAATCTTACCCTTATGGATCGGTTGTGTCTTCTGGACTCAGTTCAGGAGTTTCTGCAATTCTTTACAGTGGAATTAATTTCCTCAAACCACAGAGAAAATCCCTGGCCCGTTCTCAGATTTTCATGCTTCGCTGCAGGGCACTTGCACCGGGAGGGCCATTTTTGCCCTTGTTGCTATGGAAGCACCATAGAGTTCCCCGGCAAGAGCGACCACAGGCGTGGCTGCCCTTGGCCCTCCAGCCGCAGTTGGCCTATTTAAAGCTCAGCACCCCAGCCTAATTCTGGAGAGTGGTCCAGTATGAATACAAAATTGTAAAGACTGCTACAAATGTTGTTTCTGACATGCCGCGTGCGATTTTAAAAGCTTTTTTGCCTCCGTCTGGCTGGTAATTACAATTTTCACTCTTTACATTACAACTGCAGCAGTAAGTTCCACTTGACTGAAGACTTGGTTCACCTGACACAAAAACCCATCTTGTGTCAACAACCTTGGTGGTTTGTCACATTATCCACACCCTGACTGCTTCCTGCAGGATCGTTTGTTGTTGTTGTTGTTGTTTTTGGGGGGAGGGGTGGGGGGACAAGCCACTCTGATCATCTGTGTCGCTTGCAAGTGCAGCTGCCCAATACATGAAGCCTTGCCTAGTTAATGATCTTGCACATTTCCACATTAATTCGTGAGGACTGCATGATCTGGGCACAGTAGCCTGGGACCAGTTGCCAGGTTGCCAATTAAAAAGCACGAAAAAGGAGGCAACCCCCCCCCACCCCACCATGCTTGCTATCTTCCACTGGGTCAGTCTTAATGCTGGCAAAGACAGACAACCTGAGGCTATTGATTGACATGGCACTCAAGCAGGAGGTTCTTCTAAAAAGCCCCCAAACCACCACCCATTTGTAAACCCACCTCTATTTTTTCTTCCTTTCAAGAAATGTCAAACGAATTCTTATACCATTTTTAAAAAGAAGAGCAATTTAATTTACACAGAAGTACTAAATGTACATAATTCTTTTAAAAAATTGTTATACACAATAAATACAGTACAAAATTATTTTATAGTACTATATTTTGTTTTTGAACTGTGATGAAGTTCAAACTGGTACCAGCAGGGGGATGAAAGAAAAACTGGTTATTTAATTTTTAATACTAAAAGAAGTGGGGTATTACTTCTTGCTTCCTTTTACTTGGAAAGCCTTTCGGTTATTTGGTGCTGGATGGGGAAGCTGAAGGATTCAGAAGGACTGAAATGCATTTCCTTGACATTTGAAAATGGTTGTTTGGAACTACCCTCCCAACTCCATTTAGGGCACAATCCTATGTATGATTAGACAGAAAAATATCCTATTTTTCTAAGCATCCTCCAGCTAGCATGGCTGGCTGGTGCATGCGGGAATTTATAGGACTGTTTTCTAGTTAAGCATGAGTAGGGTTGTGCTTTTTATGTTCTACATCACTGGTGATGTGTTGAAGTGCACAGGTCAAAGCTTCTCTAGAGTTGCAACATGCATCTCTCCTTCTCTTCTCCAATACCCCTCTCTAAAATAAAAACCCCAACACTCACTGAAAATTTAAACACATATAAGGAGATGGGAATTTCTCCTCTGCTTAGGTGCCAATGAAACAAAAAACCAGTCACTTTGTTTCAAAATACTGAAAAGATGTAAAACATACCTCCCTGTAACAATGAGAGTGCCAACATATATTAACCTTTAAGATGAAGGGAAGAGTCACACCCCTTCGTAACTTAACCGCTTTGCAGTGAGAAGAGGCGGCAGCAACCAAATGAGCTAACGATCCCAAATCCACACTTTAGGAAAAATGGACGATAAACAAAAAGCCAAACAATTTCATATACATTTTTATATATATATTTATATATAAAAAAGAAGAAAAATCCCCCACCAGCCTGTGAGTTAGAACATCCCTTATTGCTTCCTAACCATATACGTTTCCGCCCACATTTGGGTAACAAGGGGGCTACAGCTGGGGAGCATGGTGCACTTCAGCAAGTAGTGTTTCGGAACCAAATCTGGTTTTCACTCTTCCTGGTCTCTTGCTCCAGCAGCAATTCATAGTGAAAGAGGAAACTGCCTGCCTGCACATCAGCAATGTCCTGCTGATGGCAGAACGCCATTTCTCTTCAAGGTGGAAAGCACACGTTCGTGTGCAAGCCACGGTACACTGCTTGATGAAACACAGGTCCACAGGGAGGCTGTGCATGCATCCGGCCCCCTACAAGGTTCTGGATCAGGGCGACCCAGGCTGCTCCAGGTCCCTCTGGAAAGGCTGCAGCTTGGCTTCCACAATGGCGTGCCGCCGCAGAGGGCAGGGGAAGTGGGCAGAAAGATGGGCAGCTGCCTCAAGGGCATACCTAAGGGTTCCTTGTCCCTACGAGGAGATTTTAGAATGCCACGCAGCGTAAAGCCAGAGCTAAATCAAAAGTTACATGACTGAGTTGTGTGCTGCTTCAAAGCAGCAACAGCTTTTATAGGGACTGAACGGTCTGAGATATTTGCTGGAAATCGTGTGTTCACCATGTTTTGCATTGTTTTCAAGCCACCTACAGCCTGATCCAGTGATACCTCACACAGACCCTGGTATAGACACTGTCGAACCTCCACAAGCCACTCTGCATTTATGTGTAGTGCGGCAACAACACTTGAAATTGGGGCTCTGGCATACGAATTTCTTAAGCAAGCTGCACCATTGGTAAGATGGGGCAAGTTTTGAAACACACTTTGTCAAAGACGAGAGAAAGAAGAGAGAGAGAGAGAGAAATGTAGACCTTTTTAACCCTCTTTTTGGTTCAATTATATCCCTAAACATTTCTTCTCCAGTAAACTGCACTTTTAAAGACACCAACTTTCATCTACTTCACAAGACACAGTAAGTTTAAAGAAGGAGGAATTGATGCTAAATAGGCTTGGACCAATAGCAACATTCTCTAGTATCCCTGGTCTTTTAATCTGTAACAACCTTTTAGAGTAGAAACCCTATTGGCACTGCCTCTTACATGGGGTGGGCGTGGGGATTCGGCAAGGATAACCAAATGCGGGGATAGAAAAATGAACGCAGGCACATTCTGTGCTGAGTGTAGAAACAGATTCATCATAAGAAATGGAACACAGAAACTAGTGATGGGGTTACATGTTCTTTGTCCTTTGTCAAAATGTGTGAGTGATGGTAAGGCAGGTGAAAAAGAACAATTAAAAACAAAAACAAAACAGGCCCAAATTCAATCTGTTTATCCAGGTGTTTAAGCTAAGCTGCTCAGCTTTCTACCATTGTATCCCAGAACTGATTGTGCTGATATCTATTAAACATGCTTTGCAACTGAATAGCTATACATAAAATACTTGCACGTTAATATTTCTGTGTGTTCAGCTAGTCCAGATGGTACAATGAGGGGAATGAAGCAAAGGCAATTTTTTTAATTAAAAAATTAAAGAAGCAAACTGTGTGTGTGTGTGCACACACCAGAGATGGGACAAAATCGCTCAGATCTCCAAGAAACAGCTACTTTAAGAAAGCTGGAAAATTCAATTGGCTACAAAATAAGAAGTACTTCCTCATCTTCACTTTTAAAACTAGTGATCCTAGAAGTACTGGCTTCTCTTCTCCAATCTGGTCAAGTTGCTGCTCGAATCATAGGCAAAATATGCATGATGCACATACTGGTTTTCAATGGGAATATATCAAATGAGCACATGGATAATGTTAAGGCCTCATAAAATTGTGTTTGTTATTTTGAAGGAGTGGAGGGAAGCAAGCAAAAGAAAGAAGCCTGAAAATGTTCCATGTTTTTCTGCACTCTTAAGTCCAGGATTTCTTCGCTGGTTTGGTTGCCAAATCTTTTCAAAAGAGCATTCACAGGAAAACAGGATGACACTTGAAATTCTAAAAATAATTGTTTGCTTTCTTATTAAAGTTTAAACCCAGAACAATGACAGAATCCATATCCTTGTTTCTGCAGCCCTTTTCTCCAGAAAGCTGATTTTACTTTTTAAATGGTGTTCAAAACTTTTCATGACAATTTATCATCAGAGTTTGGCCAGCTACAGGATGGTGGTTGTAGACACCAGAAGAGAGAAACTATCAAAAGAAGACTTTGTTTCAGAACTACTTGCAGGAGGTTTGGAGGGGGTCACAGAAAGAAGAGTGTGAAGGAATTCAGAAGGCAGCTGCAGCAAATTCCTGACCCCTGGAAACCAGCATTATAGCAGAGGCTTTTCCTCTTGGAAAGAAAGAAAGAAGTCTGAGAGAAAAGAGAAATAAAAGATTTATAGCTAATGGCTGAACACAGATCACTTGGCGCCATTCCAAAATGACAAACAGCTTATCTCTAAGTAGAACATGTTGGGCTTTACTTCTGCTCTTGGTTTATACTATGGGACAGCAGCCAAAAGTACTCTTTTGCTGGCTTGCATTTAATCTGAAACTTGATGTCAAGAAAGGTATTTCTTCCTTTCTTTCTCTCTCTTTTGTAATAAGGCAATGTGCATGTGTAGCGGGGAGTAAAGTGGCACAAAACAAGAAAGCCAATTTTGGTAGTAGATAAACTGGCTGTTCATTATTACACAATTCTGGGGGACAATGAGCAAGCAGGCCTTTACTTACTAAGAAAGACAACAAAAGACTTTGGCAACACTGGTTGCTTTTGAAGTCATGTGCAAGGCCGTGCACATCTACTTTGGTTTTAGGCAGCAGGCCTCTTTTGGAAAGAAGAGAACAGACAAAGGGGCTCATGGTGGCCAAAGGTGCAGACACACAAAAGCGGAGTATGAACCGAGTCTGACACAAGAAGAAATAGCGAATCCACCCTTGGCAATTTGGTGAGCTAGGAAAACATATTGAGCTACAGAGTAGGTACTTCAGACTGTGATCTGAGACAGAGATGGCAGGCTATCCTATCTGACAGGATAACAAAGAGTGAAGAAATCCTACTTCCAGGATTGCAAAAAGTACTTAAGAAGAATATTATGTCACAGGAGCTAGGAACCAAGAGAGGAAAAATCCTCTTCAAGATTGATTAACATACATGTTTTATTCCTTCTACACCCACAAATTTTATACTTCATCAGCCAGCAGGGCATAGCTACTATGGAATATGTTTTGGTTCTGGATGTTAGAAGATCCATCGCACCCCTCTTGCTCTAACTCCATACCCCAGGCTCCAGGCCCTGGTTATGTAGAAAATTATCCTGTATTACAAGAACAAGAGCACTTCTACACGGTCATTCAGAAGGCATTTTATGAATATTCATTCTAGGAGATCTGATTATCAGGTATGTTCAGCTTGTGCACATATCCACAGAAAACATAACTGATGGCTGACTGAGCAGGTATCCTTGCCTTTTTTGTGTTTACACTTTCTAGAACATATCTGTCTCCCCAAGCCCCACTTCACTACCGTGAATCTATGTATGTGTGTTCATGCATGTATGAGAGTGATCGGGGAGGTGGAAGTTTTGGCACCTACAAATAGAAATGTATGGTCTGGGTTTATTTATTTTTGCATTACATTTATCAATGAAAGGGACACTTGTCTAGGGGATTGCAAATCAGTAAAGAACTCTGTGAGGATTGCTGCCCAGTGCTAGCCTATTGGAGCAGCAGCAGAACACTTTATTGTGAAAAACTGGAGAAGAATAATCAAAGGACAGCAATCTACTATGTACTATGGAGGAGCTTAGTTTGGTTGTACCAAGTCCTAAAAAAGGTCACAGCAGGGGGCTACATCAAGCAAGCTCATAAAAACACCTTTGCTCTTCAAGAAGCTGAGAGACTGCCACCTTTCCAACTCATCTGCTGGAGGGTTTTGTGCAGCTCAACTCTGAAACTATTCCACCCACAGGGGACTACTAACAAAACACTGCCCTACCAGTTCTGTTCTCCTCACATAGTCCAGCTGTGGAGGAAGAGAAAATGTTCCTGCTTCTCTTTGAAACAGGCTTAAAGATGCCATCTAAAACAGCAGGTTGTGAATTTGCCAATTCAGCAGTGCTTTCAGGTGAAAACGCTTCTGCCCCTACAAAGCAAGTAGCAACAGACAAAATGAATACGCCACAGAAGAGAGAGAGCAAAGAAATGGCACTTTCAAAAATTCTAAAATGGCACCTAAGCAATATTTTGCAGGAACAAGGAGGTCAGAAGTGGAAGAGGAAGGATCTGAGTGCAAAATGTCCTGTATGAAAGAAGATGGCAGCTGTGGGCGGCAGCAGCACAGACTGCAGTTGGTGGAGAACCCAAGGCCGAGAAATCCTTTATTTCTAGGTCCAGTGCAAGACACAACAGGCAACAAAGGGCACTGACCACACTTTTGTGCAAAGGGGAACCCACTGATTATTTGAGGAAAATGGGATGATGAATATGAGCTTGTGCTGCCTGTTTGGTATTCTGCTCTCCATGCAGTGAAGTCTTGATCGGTGTTAATTCAGAACTGTGTCCTAACTTAGCTGATACATTCACATGTGCATAATCCTGGGGTTGCCCCTGTGATGAACACTGCAATGAGAAAAGTTTTAATCTCTGTCTTTCTATGAATCAGAGCAGGCGGACCAAGAATACACCAGCCTATTACTTGCTCACAAACACATGCATAACTCCTTCACACTATTATTTCTGTTGTGGGAATTCTTTGATTCCCACAGATTAAATCAAAAAACAAAACCTGACAAATCATGGGATAATTCATTGACAGACAAGTCAGTCTCACTGCTGGCACTCAAGTTGTGTTCCAACAGCTCCTAGGCCTTATGAGGTTATAGAAAAAATTTACAAAATAAGAACTGTAGACAAAACAAGTAAGGTAGGAGATCTCAGTTGAGGCATTCTGAACAGTGCAACAGTGCAGCAAGAAAACTGCATAAAGCTGTGATGATGGATCTTTTATTCCCATCAGTAACTGGAAATAGAAGCACTATGGGGAAGACACAGGGTTGGATCCAGACTAAGTTATACCTGGGTCCCATTAAAATCAATGTGAAAAACCGTTTCAATGGAAAAAGTGTGATTAACTTCATCTGGATCCGACAATGGCTGGCGTTGCTTTCTTCTTTTCCCACTACCTGTTACAACAAGGTTCTGATAGTTTGCAAGCAAGGGATTTCTATCCGGTCTTGGAACTCCTGTCATGCACAGGCAGCAGAAAGAGAGGAGGGTACAAAGCGATGGCATTAAAACCAGGAGAGAAGCCACAGGAGGCAGCTGCAACAAAGGACGGAAGAGTGCAGAAACACAGGCTTGACCGCTCAGTTCCCTATCCTTCCCCAGGGCTCCAAGGCATGCTGCCATCAAAGGCCCAACATGAGAATGCCAGGCTTGAACACAGTTCTTTTGAACCAAACAGCTGTCAAAAGCTCAGCCTTATGTGTTATTGTTTTGTTTATCTAGTAGGAGCGAAGAGGGGAAGAGAAGCACACAGCCTCTTGCCAGAACTTTTCCTTGTTCGAACCACCATGGCTGTGTTAACCACACCCATCTATGTCTGAAAATGGAGCAATTTCCTCTTTATTTGTAAACTCATCCATGCTTATTTGTTCTACGCATTAGTGTTTGCAACTTTTCTCCTTTCTTTTTTCCATTTTGTTCAGAATCTTTCCTTCTTTGTAAAAAAAAAAAAAAGCAGACAGTACATATTTAGAATAACTTAAGAAACCTGACAGAATCAATTAAATAATTGCCCCTTCTGGCAGCTCAGGTGGAGTTATCCCTCCTGCCCCATTCCTTTGGCCTCCCTGCTGGCTTCTGACTTGGGATTTGTTAAAATGTCCTACATATATTCATGGAGTTTGGGGAGAGGGGGAAAATAACCCCAATTATCATCATTCAAAGATTCAAATTAGCAATTTGTTACAGAATCTAAATATTACACAGCCAACACTACCTATGGGCCCCCAATCCACCCCCTCCCACTTGCCTGCCTGGCATTTGTTGAACTTTTTTTAAATGGTGCATGTGAGGAGATGAGTGTATTGTAAATCCAGCCACAGCTTGTACTTTACAACAACCAAAGCCCATCCTATAAACATTTGGATGGATGAAGCCTCTCTGTAGGACATTCCTGTGGCCCTCCCCTCCTGAGGCCCCCACTCTTCCCCCCTTCTGGTATCAGCTCCATTCTGTTGGGTCTCTGGGAAGTGGCACCTTGGCTTCCAACCGTTTCCCAGCCAGCAGAAGCTGCTGCAGCTTCAGTCCTCGGCTCGCTTTGTACAGTCTCTGCTTGCTTTAGAGCTCTGTTATCTGTTCAACGTCCTTGCTCCAAGGCCGCCATTGTGATTGGGGGCAAGGTACGTGTCCGTGCGGTGGACAGGTGAGGAGAAAGGGGAGGAGGAAGAATTGTAGGAAGAGGAAGGTGTTCGGGTGTTCTGACCCCCAGCCTGAGGTTGTTGCAAATTCAGGATGCTGTCAATGGCGCTCTGTAGATGCTCGTTAAGTGAGTCGTCTGGGGGGCTATCACTGGAGAAGCTGGCATTGTCTACATCGAAAGATTCCGACTTTCTGCGCTTGGCTGGGGGCAGGGCCACCTCCCATGCAAGTTCAGAGGCAGATCCGTGATCAGGTGGTTCTGTCTTTATCATTCGGTGATAAAATTCATCCTCAACCTCTGCTAATTCCTTCATAAGGCCACTGGTCGAGTCATCGGTCTTAGGAGGGGCAGGGCTTTCTTGCATCACTAGAGAACGGGCATCACTCCGGTTGAAAAAAGTATGCTTGGTGTTTTCTTCTAATCTGCCCTTCTCTGTCACAGTCACGGAGGGACTCTCATGGGTTTTGTGAGAAGTGATGACACTCCGAGACCCACCATCCTGCTTGATGACGAGGGTGCTTGGCACCACATCGGCTTTTGGAGTGCTCCCTTTCAGGGTGGTGTCCGGGGCTTTATCTGTTACGAAAGCGTCCACGTTCTCCCGGTAGGTTTTGCGGAGAGGAAGCCTGCAGTAGGTCACGATGGGCTTTTTCTCTGCCGGAGCTGCAGCAATATGGTCAACTGTCCCATTCATCTGCCCCGCCATTGAGGTGGTGGTGGCGGCGGTGGTGGTGGTGGTGGTAGCAGCTGAAGTTGACGAGTGCTGGTCGGCGGTTTTGATCACGGTGCATGCGGAAGGCGGTGTCTGGTGAACTGGGTCCAAGGCAGTGTTGTGAACTACTTTACTAAGCCCTGCCTCCTGTTTGATCTTCAGCTTCAGCCCGATCCGGCTCCGGGCTTCATAGGTTTTGATGGGTGGCTTGCTCCTAGATGGCAAAGCGTCTTCATCGCCGTCCAGTGAGGGAGAGGCCTTGGCCCACATGACAGAGGGAGAGCCTCCACTGTGCTTGATGACCAGTTTGGTGGGGTTGATCTGGGTTGCCATCTGCACCGGAGGGGACTTCAGGTTCTCAGAGGCCAAAGAGACGCTGCTGGACAGAGAGCCCTGAGCCAGTGAAGAAGCAAAACTCCTCGAAGATGAGGAGACATACTCATCTGCAAGAGGAGAACATGTATCACTATTTTAGTGGAAAGCAGGTTGAGAAGGCCTTTTTATGACACCATTGACCCAACATAACAGAAGGAGGAAGGGAGCAATGATTGACAGCAGTAGCCACAATGGAACAGGTTAGGTAGGAGCTGCGCCAGTTAGAACAGGGAGGACAAGGACAGTGTGTATGAGGTGGGGGGGAGTGAGGTGGGGGGGAGTGAGGTTGGGGGGAGGGGGGGGGATTTTGTTTGTTAACTTAGGATGGAGAGAGATGCTGAGAGGAACTATAAGTCCGGTGGTGAGTAGTATCAGAGACATGTTGTGAATCAGACAGGAGAAGTTTCTGAGATCTTAAATGTGGTGTTAGGAGCTTAGAAACATTTATCAGTTATTCAGGCAATGACTAAGTGGGCTGGAGCTATGGAGAAATATGCTTCTTGAAAGACGGCCTCGGAAGGTGAGTTGTCAGTCCCCAAAGTTCATTTGGATTCCCAGGAAATGTCTTGCTATCTTATACACAAGACTGGATATGATATACGGATTTGCCTTACAAAGCACAAAACAAAAACTTTTTCAAAAGTGTTTACTGCACCCTGATTAAAACTAGGTGGGGTTCAAGGGGACAAGATAAAATTTCTCTGGCCTCTTGGTCACTTCCTGACTACCTTTAATGCTTTCTCTGATTTTTGTGGTTGTATTTGGATGATCATATTTCAGCTTAATAAGCCAAAATATGAAGATTTTACCTACCCATACAGCCTCTCCTCTCCTCTCTTCATTGCATACCTGAATGCAGTACAAATCATGCTAATTAACATGCCTGTTTCATTTGAACTTGGAAACTATGCTGAGCACCTTCAGGACTAGCTGGACCTTCACTCAACCTCCAACCATAGTGAAACTAGTAGCCAAAGTTCGCTGGTCCAGACAAAAAAGCAAACTATCTTTAACTGGAGACAGTAACCATAGTTACTGTATTTTCCACTGAGATGAGCCATGAGAGAAGACAAAGGGCTGCATGTGTTATGATTGTCCAAACACAACCCACATTGTGAATGTTAGACCTTCCCAAGCCAATTCCTTCCAAATTCATATGCTCAATAGCTTTATTCTCCATAGTGCTTCACTTCTGAGGTGAGAGGCGCTAGATGGCAAGCCTGCCTGGGAGTGAGCTTTTGCTCTGGAAATCCTTACTTTTATCACATTCAATACGGCAGTGGAACCAGTTGTCTAGAAAGGTCATGGGCTCTCCTACACTGGAGACATTAAAAAAGAAACCGGACAGTCATCTGTGTGGGATGGTGTAAACTGGTGACTTGCAGTGGGTTGGACCCAGCAGTGGGTTGGACCCAGTGGCCTTCTTGGCACCTTCCAACTCTCCTATTCAGTAATTCTAGTGTAGACACTGGCTGTAGCTACTCACTGGTAATAGGAAAGCCCTTTCTAGTTTACAGTCACTTTCCATTTTGGCAGATGTCACTAAAATTTTAGAGTAGGGTTGTGTGGGCAGATGAAACACAGTTTGGAATAAGTGAGCTACACAAAGAATGGAGACAAATCCTCCCTTACCTGGCTTCTCCTTTGCCAGCTGTTTATCCAAAGCTAAGGTGGTCTTTTCTTCCTGTATGAACATCCGATCAATCATCACCATCTCCGCTGAAGGACTGACTCTCTAGAGCCAAAGGAGAACAGAGGATGGGTGACTGGCAAGGGAGAGAAACCAGGTGTGCAGTCGAGTCTCTTAAGACTCCTCTCCCTCTGCATACATCGCTTGTAATCTCCTTCCATCCCTCACTGTTGAATGACTGTACTTAGAGCAGGGGGCTTGACTTTGTTTATTAAACTTCCAAAAGTGATATAATCTCTGCACTTTCCTTAAACTCTGTACTTTGAAAAGAATGTGGCAAGAATGAACACTACAATCCTATATTAAGTAATCAAAAAACTGGGGAGAGACACTGATAGATTCATAATCATTTGTCTTTGCTGAATTTATGAGCTCTAAACAAGACAAATGATTATAAACAAATTTAATCTATTGTGCAGGGCTCATTTTCAATAGATGTATATGAATGGAATCCTACATGGACCGTGTGTGTGTGGGTGTGGTCTTACCCTTAAGGATTGTAGTGACAATTTGAAATCACCCACGTAATGTCCACACGCGTCTCTAAGGGCCACTTGCACGTAACAGCAGCACACTGCAGGATAATCAAACACGTGGTTTATTGGGCTGCATGCCACATGTACTACTTCCATTTTCTGTAAACAGCCTCTGATTGACCAATTTGGGGTTTGGGACTGTGAAACCAGTCTGCTAGGTTGTTTAAGGGGAGACCAACCCAATTGTTAACCAACAGCAAACCACAGGTTAACCAGTTGGTTATTTAGTTGCTAAACAACCCAACGATCCAGGTTGGCACATCACACTCACAACCACCAACCATTCCCAATTAGAGGTTGTCTACAGCAAATGGAAGCAAAGTAGCATGCAAACCAGCAAACCATAAATTACTTAACTCACAATATGTTGCCATTATGTGCAAACTGGCCCTCTTCAGACATAGCATATGTCCACAAAAATTATGGGTCAGATAAGCACAATTTGTCATCATTACTTTATCTAAGTGCTGAAGTACCAGAATGTCTCTCCTTTACCACCACCACCAATCCCGATGCTTTGCTGTACATTCCCCTTCTAGGTTCTACCAGCGCAAATTATTAACAAATCTTAATATCTGCTAATCGAAATCCAGCAAAGTCTCAAATATTACGTTCCAAAGATAAAACACAAATTGAATACATATTGCAAAGAGAACGGACTGGCCTCACGCACTGATTTTCATTTACTCATTCCAGGCACAGAATATGGGTTTCTTTAAAACCAAACAAGGAGATTTTTATGATGAATGAACAACGTTGCCTTCGATCTCCACAAAATGCCTTCTACACGGACACCCTACAGTGCACCACATTATTGTGACAGGTTTCTTTCAAGCACAGCCAAAAAAGTTACCTTCTTCTAGCCTGCCTCTCAGCAACTGGATCAGTCAGCTGAACATTCATCAGAAGAATAAATGGGAGTATTACATCAGGCTCCTTTCTGATAATCTACCTGTGAAAAGAGGAAGCTGAAGAGGAAAAATCTTACCCGGGATTCCTCCAAAAGCAGCAGGCGGTATTTGTTCAGCATGGCTTGCGTGCGTTTCAACAGCTGTGTAGACACCATTTCAAACTCTTCATCTACTGGAAAGAAGTACAGGTAAGGGTTATATGCTTGTCTCCTATAAATTGGAACTGCTGTAAGCAAATATCTTTAAATAGTTGTAGTGCCCTAAGTTAAAGTAGTTACAAAGGGATATCCCAGAGCACTTTAGAGATTGACAAATTTATTCTTGCTTGATTTTCATAGGCAAAGTTTTTATTTTGTCAGATGCATGAGGTTGTCTAAAGTGCTTAGTTTGTATAAATATGTATTTCCATATATATTTATACAAAGAGACAGACAGATACACACACATAGAGATGATACAAACAGCTATGTACAAGATGCAGAAACAAAAAGAGGAAAACAACAGGTGTGTCTTAACCCTATGTGGAGAACCAAGCACTTCAGGATTCAAATGAAGTTTCCCCACTACTCTCATGGCAGTCACAGGGCACAGAGGGTACCCAATTCTGAGCAACCAGTGGTCAACCCGCATAGTATTGATGCCTCAAGGGTGACAATTACTCTTTGAAGTGAGAAAGTCAATGTTGATTTAGCAACAACATCAAGCTTCCTATTGAAATCCAACTCTAATCCAAATCCAATTTGTGCACGAAATGCTTTGGGCACTAAGGGATGTAATGACCAGCAGCAGCAGTCAGGAGAAACAGTGGTGGAATTGAGAGCCTGGAAGCTGATGCGTGCACAACTAACAGGCAAGCTGTGGAAAGCGAAGGCCACCCATCCCTTTGCACCTGATGTGACAGACTGCCAGATTAACTTACCTTTCCGATAGTCATGGGGAGAAGGCAGTGTTCCCTGGTAGACGTGATATGGCAGGAGCCTCTGCAAAGCATCTTCAAAGGACCGGAAGGAGGTTTTGTAATCAGGATGCAGTACTGCTCCCTGGTGTTTATGCAGTTGTTCCAAAAAACTAGCAGCAGCAGAACAAACATGCAGGTGAGTTTTCTCCTGGGGCGTTTGCCTCTATGTTATACTGAAGGCACAGAGCAATTGTCTCCCACACTACCCCATCCCACTTACTTCAGCCTCAACTAAACTATTGGCAACAAAGCTGCACTGAACTAAGATTCACCCCTTGGCCGTGGACATGAGAAAACCCCTATGAGATCAGAGCAAGCAACAGTCTCATCCAGGGTTCTGTCCAGACCTCGGCCAACCAGCCATCCCTGAGAAACCCACGAGGCACGACTGGCACTGGAGACTCTGTTGTCAGTGGGTTCCCGATCCACCACTGCTTTTATTCTAAACTTTACAGGAACTGATCCATGGTGGTGACCCTATTTTGGGAATGGAGTTTTCCAACATAGTTGGCACCCAGAAATCTCAGCATAAGAGCCCCTCTGACACAGGCGTCTTCAGCCTCCCCTGTGCCTCTGACACTGGAAGTAGCATGCAGCCATCAGGCCAGGCAGCCATTGGTGGCCTGACCCTCCATCCCCCTTTTAAAAGCACCCAAATTCGTGGCCATTACTACATGTCATGGGAACAACTTCTATAGTTTAACTATGTGCTGTATGAAGAAGTTTTTCCTTTGATCCGTCCTGCATCTTACAGCAAACCACTTCACTAGTGCAATAGATTAGGCTTCCCTAAGTGGGAACTGATCAGTAGAAGAGGAGAAATTATTGTACATTCTAATATTATACATCTCCATATAAGCAGCAGTGTCTGAAAAAACAATGTTTTCCCATTTTCACTGCTTCCTATATCTCAGTCCTGGCGCTGATAGCAGTATGAACTCAGTTTCAGATTAAAGACTTTATAGTTGCTGAGCACTGGAACATTCAAATACATTCCTTTCTGTAGGTCGTAGTTGTGGTTCTCACACTAGATGGCAACCTGTAGTTCACAGAGATCCAGTTCAGGCCCATTGGATGGTCCAACATGTGTATGTCCAGTCTGTGTGTGACAGACTGAAGACTCCCCAGGCTAAAACCAACACTAGATCCTCTACAATCTCTATATTGACTCAAAACACTTGGAAATTACAACCTATCTTCCCTTTTTCCTACCACAAGTCAAGCAACTATCACACCTTAATCAGAGGAAATCAAATAGCACTCCAGTGTTCATTGGAGTCTTCCAGTACAGACTTACCAAGCTTCCTTACTGGGTTGTAGCATAGGAGGTGGTTTTTTCAAGTTTCCAAGCTTGCTATCATACTGGGGAAGAAAGGAAACAAAAGAACAAAGAAGCAACAAGTGAATTGGGAACCACACAGAAAAGCACCAGCGTGGGCCATGGTGAACACAGGTAAACACATGAGCTGACTGAGTGCTTTTGCAGAGTTCAGACTGGAGTACCAGGGTTGAACTTCTTCTTTTTTGGCTAAGAAGTGAACTGAGCTAAGTATGTGAATGCTTGGGAACACTAGCAGCTTCTTTGCACAAAGCACACAATTCTTTGTGCAAAATATGCAAAGCCCTCAAGTCACATGTGCGGAAGCAGAACATTGCTTGCACAGTGGTCATGCAGGCAGCATCTGAGCAAGCTGGCCCTGCAGATCTGCTTGAATTCACTTCCTAGCAGATGTCCATGTGAATGCTCAGTGTGAGGCAGACGGAGGACAAAGAGAAACTAGGCTGAAGTCTGGGAAGCAGAGCCAAGGAATTCCATCTGATTCCCACCCCTAAACTAGATTCCTCACACATGGCAAGTTCAGACAAATGCAGAGACGTGTTTAATTAGACAACCTTGTGGTCATGTGAAAAGATGGCAGTAATACAGAATTTTAAAATTCAGCTAAGATTATTAAAAGGAAAAGTATTCTGAGATATGACTGTGAAATAAACTGTCACCCAATAGTTAGGTATCTGGTGGTCATTTATGAAAATTAAAATTCTAATACTGGCAGAAAGTGATGGAGTTAATAAGAATTGTACCAGGATATTCTATTTCATGGAATCTGTAGACAAACTGGAACAAGTCCAGAGAAGGGCAATGAAGATGGCTGGGGTATAGAAAACAATTCCAATTAAGAAAAGGTCGAAGAAACTGCATATGTTTAGTCTGGTGAAAACTGAGTGTGTAGGAGATGGTATTCCTCAGGTGTTCTTCAAATACCTGTAGGGTTGTTGAACAGAAGAAGGAAATGCTTTTTATACTTCCTGAATTAATATTTTAACGTTATTTTAATTTACAGCATAATGTAACCTTAATGTTTTTGGTACCACTGTATTTTTATGCTCATGTGCGGTTTGATGGTTTGGATGGACTTGGCCCAGAAAGGCAACTTAAAAATCTTTAAATAACTCTTATTCTGTGATGTTGTCCCACAAGGCAGGACTTGCGTAATGGACATTAAGTCACAGGAGCAAAAATGCCAGTTGAAATTCCTTATCAGAGGAAAAGGTCGACCCAGCATGCACCTTATCTGAAAAAAGGCAAAATCCATCCTAAGCATTATTAGGATAGGAGCTGAAAATAAAATTGCTAATATCACAGTGCTTTATACAAATCTGTGATTTGACCACACTTGGACTACTGTGTACAGCTGGAAAAAAGTGGAGAAAAGGGCAGCTAAAATGATCAAGAAACTTGGGAACTCTCATGTGAGGTAAGGAAACAACAGAAAGAATTTAAAAACAAACACAAATGACCCCTGCAAAAAAAATTATCAAGTAGAAAAGGAAGAACATGCCAAGGATTTAATTACATGAATAAAAACTGCATACTGATGAAGACCCTTACCTGCTGTTGAATTTGTGCAGGTGTTGAAGGCATGAGTTGTGGCAAGCCCTTTCCAACCACCTGGAGCTGCAATGTACCTTTCCCAAGATTCAGACCAGACACGGAGCTTATTACTCCAGGCTTGCTCTGCCAATGAAGAAAGAAGCAATTTGTACCAGAAGGACTGGAATGAATTAACACCAATACACAAGGAAATTAATAACAATATGCACAGCAGGAAGCTATATGCTAAGGAACTGTCACTGTACGGGTGCCCTTCCACCCCATTACAGCTATTCCGTCAGTGCTTATTCACTGGCTCTCCTGGACGATTCTTCCTCAAGTGGATCTGAGTTGTTACAATCTGGCACCAGAACTATTTCACTGGTGCAGATACACTGGAGGAATGGAAGAAACAGGGCAGAGACATGGGCGTTCACTTAGGCCAAATCCTGTATCTTTGCAATCCACAGACATGCCCCTATTGATGGTACATTTTTATACCAGACCTGGACCTGTGCAAGACATTTCCTTCTCACTTACTTCAACTGGAGAAATGTAGTGACCCCACCTCTAAGACTTGATTTCACACATGCAACTCGGAAGTGCTACAGCCCCTGCCTCATAGCTGTACCACATTCAAAGATGAATGCATTTTCTGGCCACAAGAGCAAAGTTTCAAGTTAATCTTTCAAGAATAGACTGTTGCTTCTACACTGAATACAGTGCTTCAGCAGGACTCGTGTCACTGGTGCTAAAAATAAATATTTGATAATACAAGCTTGGATAAATTTTGCTGCAAAGAAGCATTAGCCAGTTCTAAAACCCTACCTGAACTGGCTGCTGTATGGTGAGAGGAACTGCAGGTTTTCCTTGCCCAGTGGTCGTTTTCCCTCCAGAACTGGTAGTGGAGCTACTGGAAAATGTTTTGCTCTCTGTAGAAGTTGCAGCAGCAATAGCTAGAGAATTTGGGTAGACACACACAAAAAAGTATTATTTCAGAATTAGACATAAAAATGTTCCAAGTTGTTAAGGAAGGGACACAGATTTCAAGCTGGATTGTTATCTATCTCTTTTGGAGGGCTGGTGAGCTAAAAGGGTAGAAGGCTGCCTTTTCCTCCTTCCACCATGTTTTCTGTTGCGTGCAGAACCTGGCTGCAAAAGTCCCTCCCTTACTTCACACATCTCCAATTTAGTTCCCAAGTCAGAGGCCAGGTTTTCTAGGGAGGCATGAGGCTTCTCTCTTCCCAGCTAACCATCGTTTGGCAGAAGGACAGCTGTGGAGCAAAGATGTCAGCACACCAGCAGAGCAGAAGTGGTCATCTCACTTCTGCTCAATGAGGACACACTTTTCATGGATACTGAAAATCCTTGAGGATGTCTGCTCTGTATGCACTATAAAATGCAACTGAAGGGTGTCTGAAAACCATAGTGATCCCTGTCAATTTGCAGGCTGGCTATCTCTGCTCTTCAAATCCAAATCCAGTTCTTTGATTGCACCACACTTAAGTGCAGAAAGTGAAGGGTCTCAGCCCGCCTATTGCAATGGATTGGGAGACGGCCATTTTTCATTTTGGAGTTTGGCCAGGCCACCAAGGCTAACATTCTGACTCTCAGGAAATGTGCCAAGGAATCTTTAACAAGCACAATGCAGGAGTGGAAGGGAGTGAATTTTTAACCTCATGTTGAGTGGAAGGAGAAATCACTTCAGGGAAAATTGAGAGAGAAGGCAATGTGGGGAGAATCATGCTATGTGACTACTCAAAGTGGGGAAAACAATGGTGGCTGTCTTCCCCTGGCCCTGCAAACAGGTTGGTGCACCACTGGCAATGTCACAGGCAAAATTCCATATGGAATCTGGATTTCTACTGTGCGCATGCACATACACATGTGTGTATACAGACTCTTGTTTAACTTTTTTCAAAACAAGGTTCTAGCTCTACTGCTTTTGGAGAAAACGCATTAACATCTAAAAAGCCCACAAAAATCCAAATATTAATCTCAGAAAAAACATGCAAGTGGAGCGAAATCCATGCAAACTTTGATGAAGAATGGTAATTATTTGCAGCATTCTTTTTGAGAGCAACAAACAAATGAGTGTAATATCACCAACCCTCATGATAGGTTTCTTCAGTGCCTGGTAATGGTCAGAACAATTACTAGAAATGTTCTCCCCCCTCCCTATTTTTCTCACTGCACAAGTCCATAGAAAATAAAATGTTTTAAAGCAAATTAAGCAAGCAGCAGCAGGTACACCTGGGCATTTAAGATACAAGAGTAAAGGATCCAAGAAACTTTGTCTGCTCTACAGCTTCATCAATGGGCAAAGATAGGCACATACACAAAACAAAATATGATGAGCAACACATGAAGTGCAGATAAAACAACGCATCTAGTTTTCCCCTTTCTCAAACTCAGCTACAATGGCACACAAAGCGGAGCTTTATGGTCTTACGTATCGATGCTGATTTCACCAACACTGGCGTTTGCTGCTGGAGGTGTGCTGTGGGCTGTGCAGGCTGCCCTCCTCCTCCTGTTCCACCTCCTCCTCCTCTCGGGACTTGCCCCTTTTCCAGCACAGGAGCTGCCTTGCTGGAACCTGTACTTGCAGGCTGAACTGCAGCAGGCAGAGGCGCATGGCCATGACTTGGTGGTGCTTGAGCTGTTGTCACTGTGACCTGCTGACCTTGGCTGCTAACCAAGACTGAGGATGGCTGGCTGCTGAACTGGCTCAGCACAGGTGGTGCTTGGCTAGTGGAAGTTGGCTGTTTTGTTTGCAGGATAATTCCCTGTGGTACCTGCATGGGATTGAAAAAGCAGAGAATGAAAAACTGTTCAAGTGCCAAGTCTTTCAGGTTATAACCTGAGCCAGGAATCACTAGGACAAAGCTTCAGAACCCATTGGCAGGGTTGGGAGCATGCAACACGACTTATGAATAGGTATGGAATGCCTTTTCTCAGCTACTGAATAAATGAAACACTCATTCATACATCTAGGAGCACAGATGTCAGAGGATGCATACTAAACCTCAAGAAAAGTGATTTATAAATTCAATAAAAATGAGTTCATTGCTTATATCTAAGTATTCCGAATGCTTTACAAAGGACAGTCTAGCTTTGGTTGGCATTGCTTAAGGTACTTGATGTATGTTTTGGCCCAATGGAGAATCTACTTTCTGTACTTAACAAGTGGAGCAAAGGCAAAAGCTGGCTTTGGTTGGGTTTTAATTAAGACAAAGAATTTCTAGGCCTCCTAGTGGCAAGACTCAATATACACAAGCATTAAGAACTGAGGCCATCTCCTTCGGGCAAGTGGTTGTAACTTTTTAAATACTGTTTGCTCTACCAGCATGCCTGAAGTAAAGTAGACCATTCCCCAGGGTGGGCTCTAGCTGGGGGTGGTGAGGGGAGATTGCACCTTAAGACAGAATCCAGGAGGGAAAATTCAGCAATATTATGGTGGTGGGTCTTTCAAAGCTATGAAGGGAAAAGAAGACATAGCTGGGGGTGGAGAACGGTTTGGAAGGCATTGCCCCAGAAATTGGCTCAAATAAATGTCCCTAATGATATTAGTCTTGAGAAATTGGACCACATTATTTTATATGGAGGGAATTATTTACTTGAGATATAAAGACTTCAAAGGTTTGATTCCCATTTTCACAATTTTAATGTTTTTGGGCTATTAAAGCCCTAAACTACTTGGAACAAGGATACCTGAAAGACTGCCTTCTCCCTCACAAGTCTGCCCTGTCATTGCCAAGCCCAATCTGATTTTTAAACACTCTTTTAAATCTGATTTAAACTGTTTAATTCTATTATTGTCATTATCACTGTGGTCATCTCCTTTTAATTGTCCACTATTTTATTTAATGTGGGGCAATATACACATTTTTCTAAATGAATAAATAAATGCGGTTGTTTTACCTGCTGAAACCGATCCATGAGTGGCTTCTGCTGAGGTATGGGGGCCGGAATAGCTGAGAGAGCCTGGAACTGATTCGGAACCATCTGAAAGCTTCTTTGCTGCTCTTGTGATAGATGAACTGTCTGGGTTGGGGTGGGAGGCTTGATTGGGCCCTGGGCAGAAAACTGAAGCTGGAAATGGGGGGAATGGGTGTGCTGCACCTCGGAGGGAGCTTGAATCTGGGGTTGGAGCCGAGCCTGGACTTGGGCCTCAGCTTGTGGCTGGAGCTGAGGAGCGAGCTGAACCTGGAGCTGCAGGTGTGGAGCGGTTGCTAGCTGGGACTGGCCATCTGCTTGGAATGGTACCTGAGGCTGGGAGGGGGGCCGCAGGGGGTGCTGGTTGGGACCGTGAGGGGAAGAGGCAATTTGATTTTGGATCACATACAAGTTCTGCATCTGTGTCTGGGGTGTGCATGATCGTGACACAGGCTCGGAAGGCGGCCTGGACAAAGTCTGCGGTTGGGAAGGAGGCCTCGAGTGAGGCCGAGAAGGCGGCCGGGAAAGAGGCTGAGGCTGTGATGGAGGGCGGGATTGGTGTGGAGACTGCATCTGTGAAAGGTGTGTGGGCTGGAGCTGTGGGCTTTCCCCCACTGAAGGATGAGGTAGTGAGTGGGACGGGGAGGCTCCAGGAAGTTTCTGCTGTCCCGAGGGCAACTGAAAAGGGAGCAAGGGAGGGGGAAAAGGAAGAAAAAGGAAAGATGTAAATGGATTTCGGAATCTCTTCTGAAGATATTCTGATATACCTAGGCACCAGTATCCAACAAAAGCGGCCAAGAGTGATTGAGTTCCAAAACTCACAATTGCCAAGTTCCATGTGTCAAAGGGGCTGCTTGTTCCTTCCCTTCATCTTTAGTTCACACAGTGAGAGTCCCTGAGCCAGAAGGGGAGGATTTCAGGGAAAGAGTGTGAAACTTTCATGCTGCCCCACTGAGAATACTTGTTGGCACCTGCCAAATTTATTTCACTGCCTCAGCTTGTTTGCAGAGCTTGGCTGTAGCAGATGTCGCTTTAAAAGACATGCCTTTTGAATCATAGGGAATAAAATAAAACAATATGGAAATAAAATATGAAGGGCACCTGATCTCCCAAGGAGCAAAGCTGAGAATGCTCCCTTCTGTAACTCAGGTCTCCCCTGCCCAAAAAGTAGTATGGTTAAACTAAAGCTTCTCTCCAGAATCTTATGTTGGAGAAAGTACTAACAGATTTGCTGAATATAATCCATGTCCTTCCGCGTCACCATGCCAGGAAAGGCATGAAGTGGCTGACCTGTTTCATGCTGGTGAACAGGGGCCCTTCCTATGCCAATGACCCATGCCAATCTTTTTACTTGCCTGGTAATACTGTCTTGGGCAAAACCCTCCATAGGCTGTACTTAATAAGCCCAAAATTGAATACACCTTCAACCCTTCTATTATCACTTTCTCATAAAATTTATTCTCACAACACTGTTACACTCCACTGCTCACCCCAAGGAGAAAGCCTGAGCATTCAACCCTATGGTAGCTACGGTAGCAGAGGCAAGGCTTCTGCTAACTACATAAAGAATACAGCCAGTATAAAGAATACAGCCAGCCCCCTCAGCATTTTAAACATACAAATAGGCAAGTAATTTTAAGAGAGTCTTCAAATGCAAGATATTCAGGGAGGAGAGATGTGCATTCTGGTAGGAGATAAGACACATACCACAAGTGCAGTGCACAGCTCTGAAGAGACAGAGAAGATGGAAAGAAAAGCAACAAAAGGCAGCAGCTACAGCACCTCCTTCTCCCAGAGTTAGTTAGGATCAAAAGGGAAGCAAGCAAGAGCAGCAACAGGAAGAAAAGACACACAGGTGAGGGCCAGACTGGCAACAGGGTCCAAGAAGAGGGGGAATGGTGATGCAGCACTTTGTCTGATTATACACAAAAGCAGGATATCTGTCCATTTTGTAACTGTGTGTGTGCACGCACATGCGCATGGTTATCTATACCCATTCAAGCTCCATGTGCAGACATAAATAGCTCACCTATTTCTACTCTGTAGCAGAAAGCTGCCAGGTTGAACTAGGGCAAGGTGGCTCATATCAGATATACTCTTGATTATAAACTCTGTTGGGCAGGATCCAGTAATTGTTTTTCACTAATTCTTATTGTGAATTTTGATAAATCGAAACAAAAACAAGATTAAAAAGCATAAAATGCAATATTTGTTTATGCTGTAAAATGCCATGCACCTTGTTGGTGCTGGATAAATAACTACTTTTCTATCTTCTATTTTCACTTAGTTCTTCATCTGGGCATAATATGACAGAGGCAAGTCAAGTCCTCTGTGAAATAAATTGTTTCCCTTATGTGTTGCACTTCTCAAAACAAAATAAGTGAAGCTTTCCTTTAAAGGAACAGATGGACAACAAAACAGGGTGTGAAGTTTTTATCCTAAAAGAGGAAGTTAGTTTCTATGCCATTTTTGCAGGATTATACTGCTTAGAAAACCTAGAACTGTGCATGAAATATTCACAGCAATGGCAGGAAAGGGGCAAATATTAAAACACAGGTTCATTCTTTGCAGGCACATGTGGTATCACAGGGAAACTAAGCATTTTACTATCCAAATATCTGTAGGGTTTAAATGCCTATTTATAGGAGACCAACTGCTCACTTCTATAGTCTACTCAGAAATATGTCCCAGTGAATTCAATGAAGGTTACTTCTAAGTAAATAGAATAGAATTAGAGCTGGAAGGGTCTTAAGGCCATCAAGTCCAACTTCCTGCTTAGCTTGCACCTGTGGTCACCTATCTGGCTGCAGGCCCGCGGCTCTCCAGCTTAGCAAAGGTGACTTGATATGCTAGCTTGATATACAGCTATATAGGCAGATACAGGACAGCAGGCTGAATCAAGTGCTGTGGGGATGTAAAATGCCAGACACAGTGAATAATACATCTGGTAGTGCTTAGGAAGAGTCCCAAACACATTTTCAGTTACTCAATTTTGTAAGCTAAAACTAAGCTGTTTTTGTTCTGTTTCTACAATGATACCAAGGAAAGACATTTCTTTGCTGTTTCTACATCTCAGTATTTGCATATACCCCTTGACAGCTCTCAAATTTATGCTCCTGAGTTTAGGATAAAGCTGCTAACCTATGGAACTCCATCAACATGAAGGAGATAAGTTCCTACAGAAACAAGTAGATACGTTTTCTTGTCCGTCCCCCCACCCCCGTCCCCCTCCTGACCCTTTACTAACAACAGTCTGGCATACAGACATTTAACAAGTAAATCTTTTTCTAGCACTTTCTCTTGGTGTTGGCAAAAGCTTTATCTACTTTATTTCTGCATATCAGGCTACTGCTAAAAGCACAGAAAAAAATAGAAAAGAACATCTAAGTGTCAACATTCTTCCTGGTTGCATGCCAGGAAGTAACTGCATTTGTACCAATATCCACCTTGTATTGTTTGTATGTTTCCACGAGGGGGAGCTTTCCATTGCTATTCGAGAAATCCTGTCACCACCAACACCCAAGTCTAGCCTTTGTTTTGAAGTGTGGGAGAATTGCAAGTGTAAACCCTAAATGAGATGCTAATATTTCTCCTTCTCTCTTTGTATTCTGCACAGAGAACGTGCTGGAGAAAACAAGAAGCTGAAGCGAAGGCTAAAAAGAAGGGCCAGACATGTTAGACAGGAGGGAGTGAGGAAGGAGGACAGGCCAAAGCAAGGCAACTTTGTGTATTTGCAAACAGGTAAGGGCTACCTGGCAAGCCAGTGCCTGCTGGGGAGGGCCGGTTGAGAACTGAGGTACTTTGGACTCCACCGGCGGAAGGTTGTGGCTCTGGCTCAGCTCTCGGCTGGCAGGTGGCTGCAGGGCTGCACCAACACTGCTGCTGACTATCACCGAGGCTGGGACACTGCTTGTAGTGCTGAGTGCGGTGGTGGCTATGCTGTAGATGGGCAGAGGCATTGGCAGGTGGGGAGGAACTGTGGATTCGTTCATACTGCTCTCTTGCTGCATTTTCAGGGCTGGCGGGTAAAATTGCTGCTGCTGCTGGCTCCGATCCTTCTGAAATTTCCAAGAGATTTAGCAAGGACCACATTCATGTTAATTGCCCACCTTTGCTACCCAGCTTTTGTCAATGCTGCTTCTCTGGTATGTACAAACGCCAAGCCCCCAGAGCAGGAAACTCATAGTACCCACACAGCCTAATGAAATTCATCCAAAATTCTGATCACAGAGCCTCTCCTTTACTTCCCCCTCTCCCACCAACAACAAAGTATGAAAGATATAAAAATAAAGAGTATGTAGAAGGCCACATTTGATGCTAAGTGACACAGAAAGTTGTTTTAGACCAAGCGGAAATGCAAGTTCCTGTGTTCTGTGATGTACACCGTCACTGGAAGCCACATGCCCCGCACCTCGCATGTGAGGAGGGCTCTAGTCCCATCCACAGAATGCAGTTTCTAGTCACAAAAGGGTGTCCTCTAATGGCTCCCACTACTGGGAGAACATACACTGGTGCTGCATGTATGTTAAATGCACAAAGTGCCCTCCTGCCTTGCTGCAAACAACCATCTGTGGATCCAGATGGAAAAGGCATGCATATGGGGGCTAAACTTCCATGCTTGCCATACCTTAGTTCTGCACCCTGGAAATGTGGTAGAAGTTTTCATCTCCCATGAACATTAGGAAAATTAGTCTATATCTACTTCAATTCTATCACCTGTTCAGCCAAACTTTGCTGGCAAAAAATGAGGTATCAGAAGAGCACAGATGCTGAAGTCTATGGGACCTGGCACAGAGAATGGGTTTCTGTGAGAGAGAGTGAGTATGAGAGAGAGAGAGAGAGAGGGAGGGAGGGAGGGAGGGAGGGAGAGAGTGGGAGAGAGAGAGAGACTGTGTGTGTGCGTGCGTGCAGGGGGGAAGGAGCAATGTGGGTCATAGACATTTCTGCTCTATCATGACTGAGAAGCTGTTCCAGTTTTTCATTATCCTTTTCCAATTTTAATAAGCATAAAAAGTGTTCACAAGTACCATGAGTTCTAGAACCTTAAAAACAGAAATGAATGAGAGATGTTGACAGTTCTGTGGAGAAGGCCACAAAGACTTTTGGCATCTTATCTGTACATGCCTCCTTAACACATGGAGCATGTATCAACAGAGACAGACTAGACCAGCCTTCGTCTACAAATATGTTTGACTACAGCTCTCATCATTTCCAGTCCACATAAGTCATACTGTCTGAGGGTGATGGATTGTTGCAGTCCAACACATCAGGAAGGCAACAGCTTGGTAAAGGCTAATCAAATCAGCAAGAGTAGCTATTATTCTAGTAAAACTTCCACTTGCCTGCTGTAGAAACATCTGCATGGAATCTTGGGAGATGACAGTTCCAGCAGCTGCCTGGCCCAAGATGATCTTTTCAGGACTAGATGCCACCAAGTTAGGACTGGGCTGGGAGGTCACGGGTAGCTGTGCTGGCTGCTGAGGTGGTGGAGTTTGCTGCTGTATGTTTAGCTGAAGCTGGGAAGGAGCAGAAGGCTGGGAAGCAGACTGGACGGTTAACAGGTTGGCTTGGTCGCTGCTTGGCAGCAGGTTAGTGCTGGAGGTTGGCTGTGGCTGAATGAGACCTGGGCTCTGGCTGCTGGCACTTGGAGGTGCTTGGATGGTCACAGTTTGGTTGAGGTTCTCAGTGGCATTTAACATAGCCACTTGGTTAGGCAGGGTGACTCCTTGGATAACAGTCTGTCCCGTCTGATTGATGGCACCGCTGGCCAACGAGGCTGCAACAGTGGGCTGGCTTTGAGTCGTCAGGCTACCAGCTAGAGACACAGGCATCTGGAAGAGAGTCGGCTGGCCAACCTGCCCAGGCTGAAGCTGGATAGGAGCAGAGAGTATGTGGGCAGTGCCATGTGCATTCTGTGACGTCAGTACCTGCCCCAAGTTCAGCTGGCCTGCCAGGTTCTGATTGGTGAGAATTTGGGCAGGCAGTGCTTGATTTGTTATTAGCTGCCCACCAGGCCCTTGGCTTGTTATGATATGCGTCTGCCCACTAGGATGTGATGTGGTTAGTATCTGGCCACCCATGTTAGCCTGCAGGGCAGACAGTTGCTGTGGAATCTGAACTGCAGATGTGCCCGTCAGCTGTCCCGGGAGAAGGAACTGGTTTTGACCCTGCAGCATGGCCTGTGGGACATGCTGTGCTGGGATGACAATGCTGCTGCCTTGGTTCAGCAGGTGGACACTCATGGCCTTGCTAAGGGCCTGCTGCTGTGGCGGGGGCTGCTTGAACATATTGGCAGGCAGCCCTGGTGGGAAGCCCGAGAGCACCACATTCTGTCCTGCCTTCCCTGCCATGAAGGTTAGGTTCTGCTGGGCTTTCTGCTGTTGGAGGGCAGCCTCATTCTGGATGGTTAGGGTAGTGTTGTTGGGACCAAATGGTTTGGGGGTGATCTGGTATAACTTCTGCTGGAGCACTCCTGCAGGCTTTGGTTGAATTGGTGTGGGGGTCCGATGAATGATCACGTTTTGGGCCTGTACCAGCGGGCTGCTCAGGTTTGATGTGACGGTGAGAGGCTGGGAGCCCTGTGTAGCAGACACACTCCCAAACATGGAGCTTCCATTCAGTGTCGTCGTGGCCACGGCTGGGAGATTCTTCTGGATGACAAGGCCTGCATTCTGTGGAGACACCCCGGCGGAGGCAAGGGTGACCTGCTGCTGCTCTGGCGCTGTCTGCGTGATGTAGCTGCCAACCGGCATGGTGGCCACCTGGGAAGGCTGAACTTGCTTAGCAATGATCTGCTGAGTGGGCTGGTTAATTGCCATCACCTGCTGGCCAACCACCTGGATCTGCCCGATGCCCAGTGCCCCACTGGGGCTCCCATTGGGCAGTCCTTGAAGGTTGGAAATTGGCTGGATGGTAACATTCCCTAAGCCAACTTGCTGGAGGAAAGGCTGGACACTGATGGCCTTGTTGACAACATCAGCCCCTACCGACTGCTGCACAAGGGCTTGATGGGTCAAGACTGCAGGCTGCTGCAGTCCAATAAGGTCCGCCCCACTCGAAAAAATCTGTGGGGTGCCATCAGAGGCAGTGTGGACTACCGGCTGAAGTGTAGGGAGCTGGAAAGAACCCAGGTCCAGCTCTGCTTCTGCCTCCAGCGTCTGCTCAGTGATGTTGGCCTCCTGCAGGCTCTGCTGGAGGATGTCACACGGCTGCTCAGAGTTCTGCAGGTTGGCCCCACTCCCAGAAGGTGAGCCCAGGATGTCATCTTCCAAGAAATCTAAGTCCACACTGGCTGTGGGCTGGCTTTGTTCAGTGTTCAAATGATTGCCAGAGGTTTCTTGCACGTGCAGCTAAACAGGAGTGAGGATTAAGTACAGAGGGAGAAGAGTAAGGATTCAGTCATTTGAATAAAGAATCATTAGATCCTCCTGCACTCAGAAACTCGGTATTTTTACTGGATGATATAGAACATTTTTGCTTACTCTAGATTTGGTCCCTCATCAGTACATACCTAAATGTGTACATAACTCTCATTTACATTTTCCTTCTTAATATGTGTTACTTTTCTTTCCATCCCAACTCCTAGAGATGTGAGAATCCAGAAAACAAGCTAGAAAAAATGGTGAAAGAACAGAAAAATTCAGATTTTTTTCAGAAAGAAATTCTGATTTTTAAAAAAGAAATTCCCTGAAGGGCAGGGAAATGGTGGGACAGTGTTTTCTCCCGAATTTTTCTGGTCCCCCTGACCATTTTTTCCTGGGACTTTTCCCAATAATTTCATGACTATGCTATTTACTTAATTTAAATCAGCCTACCTAGTTGTTACTAGCCACAGAAGAAGAAAAAGGAGAGATACGATCCAAGTACCAGTTTGGAGGATGCAATTTATGTAGGCAAAATGGTGCAGGAAGATGAGGTTAAAAACAACTTCCCACCCTGTTGCCAAGATGAGGTCCTAATCCAAATCAGCTGCTCACTGTTTAAGGCCAACGAAAAGATGTCCGGAGATTTGATCATGGTTCTCCCACATCATGCTTAGTTCAGCCCATAACATACAGTTAATACAGTGCACACATACTACCAACTGCAACCTGGATGATGAGTGTTAAGCATTTTCTGTCTTGTATCAGGCTTCACAAGAAAACATCTGGTATAAGACAAAAGCACTTCAGTATCCAGGTTCCCAGGGCACATACATGGAAGTTCTTGACCTCATTCTGAAAGAAATGTTTCTCAAGCTTTAGCAACTCTCCAACCTTTACTAAGCTGATCTCTGTGATCAGGCCTTCCCCACAGGGCAGAACAAAGCAGCAGAATGGAAGAGGACAACAAGAGGACAGCAAAGGCAAAACTCACACAGATGACCAACATTCCAAAAGACTAGTTCAGAATAAACATGGACTGGCCATGCAGGTGCTAGTACTACACCCCCCCTCTCCTTCTGCCCCATATCTGGAACCGTGTGGGTGAAATCAAATCCACAAACATAACATCACACAGGGAACTGATTAAGGCTAGGGACAGTCTAGGGATTAACTCTCCCTATACTAGTCTCCCCCCTCCTTAGTATGCCCATTAACTGCAACATAAATTAACATAATACATCACATCTGCTTCATCATAGCACAGATACAAGTATCAGGCCCAAAATCAAATGCAGTAGTATGCCAATTTTCCCTGATGACATGAGAGAAATGAGAGGTTTCCGCTCCTGTCCGTTTTGTCCTTGCTCTGTTTCCGACCAGCACCCCAATAAGCTTTTGGTTTTTAATAAAGGGACCACAAGCAGGATATCACAGTGCTTGCCTGCCTGCACCACTGTAGCAGAGGGCCTGAGTTACTGACGTCACCTATCTGCCTTCCTATACCTTGGTACATTCAGCGGCACCAGAACTTGCCTCTTGTACTATTGTGTCTGCTTCCCCTCCTGGGAATGTGGCCTTGCCACTTTGTGTACCTTCATCATGCACAGAGCATTATAAAAATGAAAAATGTGCAAACGAAAGACAAGATGCTTCTAAAAGGAATATAAACGGTACTTCAAAAATGAGGTGAAAAATACATACCCCAGCACCCTCAAAGAAGGCGCTGGCTGCATCTCCTGTGTTGTCCAGGAGATCATCACTGTCAATCTGTAATTAAAAAGATTTAAATTACTGTATGTGAATGTAAATTTAAGGTTGACAGTGTTCAAGGAGTCAGGCTGATACGAAATGGAGACCAAACAGCATTACTCTATCCACAAACCAAGGTGCTAGGGAATATCCTCTCTGCAGCTATGTTTCCTTCCAAGAACTGTAAATCTATTCCTAAATGAGCTGGTGGTATGTTTTTTTTCTCTTCTTTTGTTTAAATTAAGAAACAAATAATTTGTCAAATGTAACTAAGTCATTTTGTGATAGCAGTTATTCTCCTGTCTTCAGAGAAAACTAGGGGAATAATCTTGGGTTATCATTTTTAGGATTGGCACCACCTCGGTTCTCTGTGTCACTTTTTTTGTAGGCAACAGAAGCCAAAGGCAATTCAAGGAGGAAGTTTGATTTGTTAATTAAGCATGCACCAACTTAAGCAAAGGAACACAAGAGCAACTCCTCACCTTTTCAGATCCATGTAAAAAATCATTCAAGGCCTGAGGATCACTGCAAAAAACAAGCAACACAGAATTGCTTAAAGATGGATGTAGGACTTGTTTTGCATTGCCCTGCTGATTTTTAAAGCTTACTGATAAAAGACAATTCTGACTGACAGAAATATAATTGCAGCCATCCTTTGCTAGGGAATTACTGTCTTTATCTAGCCACTTATTGGCTACAGTACTGTCCAGAACTTGCTTATTAACATTTCAATTATCAGTTATGCAGTTCTCTATGTATCCATCCATATACAGACACATACATTTATACATACAATGTGCATTAAACCTTTTTAGAAACAGTGTATATCACGTACCATGTCACACCAATATGTATACAGTCCTAAATTAAACTTTGGTTTCATTCTGTAGACATTGCTCCCCCCAAAATTCTTACACTGTACGCTTGAAAATGGTGGTAGGCAAAGTTGTGCCCCCTGACACTTTCTTCAGTGACCACCAAGACATCCTACTTCTCCAATTTTATTTGAAAAATGGTTTAAATTTTCTTATGGTGTCTGGGATTACTTCACAGTGAAGTGGGAGCCTTAGTAGCTACCATTTTAATTTCCCATGAATGTCTCTGGCCAGGTTATTTGCGCTTTGTGACTAGCCATGACCACCCATTATAAACATTTTATGGTTGGTCAAGAAGAATTTCTCCAATTCCCAAATGCATCAACAGGGCAAAAGGATTTCAAAGGGACTTTGTTGCAATTCATTTAAGCTGGATCAGGGCCACAACTGTTTCTAACATAGGTTTTTATGTTTTTTAGGCTTCAGTTCTATAAACCTTTACTGAGAAGTAAGTTCTTTTGGAACAAGTAAGAAGACTTAGTTTTGAGCAAACATATGTAGGACTGTGCTCTTCGTTATTTACTAAGACAAATGAGCTTAGATATATGAGTGTTCTCTCTCTTTTTGTTCTGCTTCTTTTGTTCAGGATCTTAAATTATCAAGCCACTGGCAAAGGTTTATTTACAGACTACAGAATTTAATATAAAATGTTTAATGTTTAAATATTATTTAAGGCCTTTATCTGACTTTGGCATGATACTGTGCACTATATTCACTAGTTTTTGACAATAAATCCATAACAGAAACCACCTCTCTTTGGAAAAGGTCCGTTCAACTTCTATTGCCAAATAGAGCTAGAAAGCTTATGGTTCTAGCTTCACATTCATAAAGATTAAGGATGAGCCAAGTTGCCTATGAGCCAAGATTTTAAATGAATTAAATATATCCCTCAATGTTTGAAAATTAACAAAAATATCTGAAGCGATTTTTAGATTTTGAAAAACATTTGCCAGTACAGAATAGGAAAAATGAAGCAAAGAAAGTCTTTCACGTGCAAACACTTACCAAATTACATCTAGCAAACATCGGCCATCTTCATCATCCATGTCAACTGAAAAAAGCAGATGCAGGTCATGTTACAATCATGAAGGAAGCATATGCCAAATAATATGCTACTGAAATGTTCCTACCCATAGGAAACCTTCAGTTCAGGAACTCCTTCCTAGTTGAAGCCGTGCAGGTTATGGGATTTTGGTTGCCCTTGGGTAAAGAACTCAGTCTTATTAGCACAGAAGAGGTTGGGAATGCAAGCCAATAATTCTCCTATGGTGCCTCCGAGTTTAGTGCAAAGTAAAAATGGCTGCTTTTGGAGGGGTGGCACTTTACTGATCTTTTGGTCCTGCATATGCCACAAGCCATCAACCTTTGAATCTGACATGGCATCCAATCGTTAATTGTATCCTCATCTTTTTCTTCTTGTATTAATCCAACAATTTTAGATAAGGTTATTAGCACTCAACATCTCTATGGAAAGTCATATTCCCTAGAACGATTCCTCATCTTTATCATAGGACTGCTCTAATATCGGTAGAACGATTTTATACTATGCCATGAAAACAATTCCCACAAAAAAGTCCCATACTGTATTGATATTAATTGCCTTGAAACTGAGTTATGAAATAAAATAAGGAACTCTCTAACAATAACTCTGCGGGACATGCTTTGATCTTCCAAGTGGACTTCACCAAAAGCATTCCTGCTGCTTTTGCACAATTGGCAATCACGAACACATTTTAAATAAAGCTAACACCAATTTGCTGCTCAACATTCTTCTTTGTGAATTTTAGGTTGATTGTGAATGTTCTCAAAGTGCTCAAATATCGGCCAAATATTGAGCATCAGTTCTTGACATGGGATAATTTTACTTTCAATATTTGACTGCGCCTGATTGTTGATACACACTGATATTTAGTATCGGGTAGTATTCAGTAGACAGCATATAAATGAGACTAAATGTTTGACAGCTGACATTTGTCTGCTCGGATTTCATATCTGATTGCTGCCAAAGAGATGGCAGCAAGGCTAAAGCACTCAACTTTTGAGGTGAACATTCACATCTAAATGTGAACTCAAATTTCACATTACAAATCTGAAATATGGCCAATTTTGAATATTTGTAGATAATAGTTTTATCTGCCAAGAATCTGAGGGCAGTCACTTGATGCAGGATTTGTTTGGATACTAAAACTGAACAAGTACAACTATATCCTGGAAAGGTCTTCAATCTACTTCATAAAAAATCATTTGAATAAACCTCCTTCAATTCTTCTCTGTTTTTGCTGCAGGTATCAGAAATATCGGACGTTCAAAGCCTTGAATTTATACACACCATTGCTAACTTTGCTTTATGTCCAAGCTAAACAGGGCAGAGGAGGAAAAGAAAGGAAGTCCCTCCAGAAGAAAATGTCTGCATCTAAAGGGGAAGGGGGAGGGGGGGAGAGAGCACACATGCGCATGGATTTGTTTAAATAATTTGCTTGCTGTATGTGGGGCTGCCCTTGAGGCTGGTCTGGAAGCTGAAGCCAGTGCAAAGTAGGACAGCTTGGTCTCATGTAGTTTCAACATGCAACCCCCTTCCTGAGGGATCTGCACTGATGGCCTGCCTCTTTACGACTCAGCCAGAGTTAAGTTTTTGGCACTAGTGTATAAGCACCTAAACAACATGGGATCAGGACACTTGAAAGCATGCCTTGTCCTTTACCAACCTGCCCAGTCGCTGAAGTAATTGGGGGACATTCTCCTGTAAGTTCCACATGGACCTGTGGAACAACTGAAGCCCATGTGGAGAACAGTCTTCAGTGTGTTGGCTCCATTTCTGTGGATATTCCTGCCCCTACACGGCAAGTGAACAGGTGCCAACATTAGGTTGAAATGTTGTTCTGTTTTCAGCGCTTCCTGAAAACATTTTTATTCCAACAAATCTCCCTTGACTTACCAGCAACAATTTTACTGATATTCTAACATGGTGTCTTACTCTTTTATCTTGTATTGTTCTTGCTCCGGAATCTGTTTAAAATGTGGAGCGGTATTTAATCATTGTAAATAGATCTATCTAGAGATGTGTCACAAAACAAGTTTTATTGAGCTTTTCTGTCTGACTAACTGATTGGCCAGCAATTTTCTGCCACACCTGAGTTCCAGAAAGGGTCTCACAGGTATCCTCGTGAAATCTTCACCATACATTTTCCCCACAAGTATGCAACAGACCCATCCAAGTTTGATCATCAGATCCAACACTGTTGTAACTTGCAGTGAACTGATTATCCTAGAATAGCAGGAAAGCATGTCCAAGCAAACTGCATAGCAAACAGGCTCTTCAGCATGCACAATGCCCACATGGCAGCTCACCACTGGAAACAGCTGTAAACACAAAATCGCATTACTGGAACATGCCTGACTCTGAATGATCCTGGCTGGATGCAGACTAGGGAACAAACAGAAAACAAACCCCAGTGTTTCAGTAGAGCTGAAAGTCTGGAGTTCTCATTTGATGAAAGTGCAAGAGGCATAAAAAAGAAAGCATTCACTTAAACACAGGTCTACTGAATGTGCTTAATGATTCCCCATAAATTACTGTCCAACCATATAGGAAGAGAAGGAGCATAATGCTTCAACAAAATGAAAATCTGTAGTAGCTGCAACAGCTTGCAAACTTGAAGTATTCAGGGACAGCACTGCTAAAGCTAAGGTTTGCCATACAGTCAAAACTGAGCTGTTCTAAAAGGGTAAAAAAAGGCAAAATGTATACAGGAGTATACATCCTAGCTCAAAAGGCAAAATGTGAATTGACTTCAAGAAGCATCTATGATTGTCTTTGCAGTTGGATATGCGTGTACAAACAGCCTGCCATCAATGCTATGTATAGGTGCTAAGATTTCATTTATAGCTCTATTCCGTGGAGCATATGCTTAAGTTAAAATGTCATCAACAGGGCATGTTTACTAATTTAGTTGAGGGCAAGTTCACACTTTACATAGCAGAGACATTTGCCATGAGTATGCTATTAATTACTGAGGTTTATTTAAAGAGAACAGAGTTGTCAGGTCTCAACCTGTTGCAGGACACATGCCTTAGAGTTGTGGCCAATTGTGTGTGTCGGGGGGGCATTGAGAAAACCTCTTCCCTTTATAATTTATATTATTCACTGGGAGAGATCAATGTACATACATGTCATATAAATACAATGTTGACTTCTATTAACTTTTCCATTTTGAATTGAATTGGTTTTTCGTTAGCGTGATCACTAATGACATCAATGGGTACAAACACTCACAGAAATAATGTCGTGCTTTTATTGCACTTCCTGTCAACTCTTTACTACCTTTTGTTACACAGAACATCTTGGAGATCACTGACATCCTGTATTTTTTGAGTGGGAAATAGGACAGAGAACCATCTCTTCCCTGACTTGCAATCTTTAGTGGGTAAGATTATCATAAGGCCAGAGATATTTCATAGTTGGGAGGAGGAGGAGGAGAAAAACCCCTCTGAATTCTGTAGCTTGAATTTTCAATAGCTTGCCAAGGTCAAAGACTCCAGGCCATCCCTGGAGGGATATTAATTTTCTTGTTTCTGAAAAGACTTATTTGCAAAAAATCCATAAAAATGACAGCTTGATAGGTTGCATTTATTCATTAGCTGATCAAAAGGCATGGCAAAAGATGTCCACTTAGTAAATCAACTGATCACTGCTCCCCTTTCTTCTCCTGGATGCAGCATAAAAGGAGCTTCAGAATAATTTTACTCCGGAGTCCTTAAATTTGCCAAATACAGTATCCCTCAATCCTGTGATGAACTTGATAAATCTCTATCATTCTCCTAAGGTGATAAACTCTGTGTGTGTGTGTGTGTGTGTGTGTGTGTGTGTGTGTGTGTGTGTGTGTGGTGTCTCTGTGGTTGTATTACACTATTGGTGGGGAAACCTTCAGCCCACAGAGGTTGCTCATCTGGGCAGTGGAGGCGTGGGTTTCCTCCTGGATCGCCTCCCCAAGCCCTGTCCATGATTTGGAAGTTACTGGGAGCTTTGGGAGGAGGGGAGGAGTGCCTGTACATAACGGGGGGGGGGGGTTCCCCTTATATTCTGTTCCTCTTCTCAATGGGAGTGAGAGATAACAGATCAGAGGATTAGCAGAGCAGTGCACATTTCCCTGGAGCTTTTAGAAGTTCCTGCAAGAGACGGGGGAATGGACTTTGTCCTTTACCTTTACCTTGCCCTTGCCAGGCTGAACAGCTCTGCTTGGTCTGTTCTTCTCTCAGGGAAGAAAGCAAAGCAACTGGATTCTGTGTAGGGCTTCAGCACAGGAATGGGAGACTCACTAAAAGCATCATTGTCCTGATCTGTTTGCTGGTGATCAATTGATAAGGAGTGGGGCCCTGCTCCCTTTAATAACTTTTAGCTCATGCAGGACTGAAGGGGTCCTCTATCCCCACCCAATTTGGGTTGGCCACCTTATGTAATACCTTGAAGTGACATGAAACACGAAACAGATGAGCTCCCACATTTTTCCAAGCCTAGAGTTGGTGAGGGGAGGCCAGAAAATACTCCCAGATCCTGTGCTGAGGTATGAGCACCTCCAAAGCTCAGTACAGCCAATGACTCTTTAAGTTGTGGGAAGGACATGCTCGTGGGGTCTACAGATTTTGGGTTCCCACTAAGCAGCCAAAATTTATTAAGTCCTTATTTTGAAACTGGGAAATGGCAGGAAAACTGCATACCCTGGAGGCATTTAGGAAAGCACTAGCATATCACATGCACCCATTTACAAGAGGCAAGAACATTTCCGGCTGCTCATGATCTGGTAACTCAAGAAGAAACATGCATAACATACAATGGTCAAGCAGAAACTGTCCTGGACTTGCCAAGGGCTTCATCTAAGGGGAAGGTCATGTGTAATTGACACTGCACGTCTCTGGGTCCACTAAGGGGCACTGCTTTTCAGCTAGTCCTCCCAGTAACACATACAAAGGCTATGGCAAGCCATGATAAAACTGCATGTTTGGAGCCATTCTCAGCAGAAGCGTGTGCAGCAGAAGAGCCATGCTACATGCTGATCCCTTGTCATAGGAGAAAGCTGTCATGTTACCCTTCTACGCTGCGACAGCCCACCTCTACATCACTTCGCAACAGCTTCTTTGTCCCGGCTGCCACAATTGCCTTGTTTCAAGTTCCCAAGACCGTTAAGCCTGCTGAGTTCCACCTCTGACCTATGTTGCATTTTTGAAGGTGCTTTCTCAGTTCTCAGTTGCAGCCACCTCTGGCCACAACAGGAGTGAGTCAAAAAAACCCCCAAAAACTAAGTGACTGGCAGATTTGCCTACTGAAAGGTGAAACAGCTTCTGTGTGAAAGTGAGAGAGGTCTTTTGCTGACACTGAGTACCCTCTATTCATCAAGTGGGGGTGGGAGGTATCCCTTATGATCTGAGAAGCAATGTTAACAGGGCAGTGAAATCAAGCCAGTGCCATTGTTGGCTTGTCCTGCAGCAGAAGAGCATAAAGAGCTGTAAGGCTCAAGAGTCAATCAATCCAGAATTATCCTCTTCTGAATGTGAAGCATTCTCAGAGTACTTCATCCATACTCTCCAGGTTGTTAGGCCTTCACTAGACCTCTCCAGATTTCTGATAAAAATCTGAATTGAAGAAGAAATCTAGATAGTTATATAATCTGAGAAAGCAATAGAGAACATTTTAAGTAGAAGAAGCGTGACTGGGCCAAAGTCACCTAGTGAGCTTCGTGGCCCAGTGAGGGCTAAAGCTAAAATGTGAGAGCCACTGTGGTATAGCAGTTAAGAGTGCAGGACTGGGACTCAGGCGATCTGGATTCTAGTCCCCGCTTAGCCATGGAGCCATCTGGATGACTTTGGGCCAGTCACAGACTCTCAGCCCAACCAACCTCACAGGATTGTTGCTGTGGGGGTAAGCTTCAGAGCAGGAAGAAGAGAATGATGTAAGTAACTTTGAGTTCATAAGAAAAAAGCAGAATAGAAATCTAATAAAATTTGGATCTCCCAGGTCCCAGCCTGATACTAACCACTACACTATACTGGCTCTCAACTGAACTTTTTTGGAGCTTCTAAACCCTCCCACCCCAAGCAGAAAGCAAATGCAAAGGTGCAGCGATCAGTGCAAGGATGGGTATATAAGATGGTTCTGTTGAAAAAGGCACTGGAATATCAGATGGAGGACTGTGGGAGAGGACAACCCAGAGTGAGCCCAATCGTGTGTCAGCTGAACCATGGGTTGTTATATAAATAATACATACTCTGTGAGTTATTTGCAGGGTGGCTTAGTGTGTTGTGTAAAAGCACCCACAGACTACATTATAGTGGTATTGTCTGATATTTTGTGGTAAAATTTCCAAAAAAGGTTGGTTCCCACCCGTTACTGGAGGTTTTCAATCTGTTAGGGATCATTTAACCACAGGGTATCTTGCTTCAGAGTTCAGGAATGGGCCAGATTGCCTCAGAGGTATAATTTTCAACTCTTAAGATTCTATCCTATGTGTGAAACCGAGTGTGTGAAATAATGATATGGTGATTCAACATGATTAGGCGTTCTGCTCACCATAATTATTTCCTAATGCTTTACATAAAATGTTATTAGCAAATGAAACTATTTTGCCACCCACCAGCTTTTTATTAATAATAAAAACATTTAAAAGATGCCAGGAAGTATTTAGACAACAAAGCTATTTTCTTGCTACCACTGTCACTTCTGAAATAATGTTACTGAAATGTATTTCTTGATCAACATCTTTTTTTCTTTTTCTTTCTTTCTTTCTTTCTTTTTTTTGGAAGGGGGATTTGTTACTTTCAGTAATTTTTGAAGCCAGAGAAACTTCAAACAAGCACAGGAAGGCCTCCATAAAACCCCAGAGGAGCTGTCTTTCCCTTAATGTGAAGCAGCACTTTTAAGATGTTTGGATAAAAAGGTGAGTACAGTTGGCTTGATAATCATACAGCATATTGAAATATATGAATTGAGGAAGATAAAGAGGATGATCGAGGCCACAGAACCCATTACTGGAAATGTAAGACATTGCCGCCCCCGCCAATCCTCTCTGTTTGCCAAAGCAGAGCTCTGGCTTTTCTTATATTTGTTAAAGCTCCCTTGTAAGGCAGCCCTTCGCAAAGCAGTGGCTGGCCCTCCTCAACTGCAACTGCCTCCCCACCCACCCCCAACACATTTCTCATGGAATTACTCCAAGCAAATCAAAACTTTGGCAGTCAAACCCATCTTGGTTCACACAGGCTCATATCTTATAGAAGTAACAATTCCAAACAGCAGTCAAATCAGCGGCCACATCCTCTCTCTCTTTCACAAAGCAATCCCACTACATAATAATCACAGGAACAAAGACAGGCTGTGTTGGGTACTTCTGTAGAAGATGCTGCTCGTATGCAGCTAGCCAACTCTTTACTGTTTACATAGAGAGAAGTAAATGCAACCATGAATGGCAGTG